TTATTATCTATGTAAGCTGACGTTTAGGTGTTTCATTGGCCAGCACAAAGATGAGGTTGACATAGATACTCCTCCCGCCCATTTCAAATACGACCTCAGCAAGAAAGCCAAAAACGAAACTCTCACTTCATCAAGTGAAACTCCTGATGTTAACAGCTTCACCCCTGCCGCTATAACTCAACTCGTGGTCGGACTCGCAGGGGCCATTGGGGAAGCGGTACGATCACCTCAAAAGCAACCAGCTGGCGATGTCGAACCACCAATTACCCCATGCACTCCTCGTAAACGAAAGAATACACCTGAAGATTCTACTCATGTGTCGTCATCACCTCCTTTTGCATATGATCCCTTTGCTGAAAATGGAACAGAAGGATTCCTCAAGTTCTGCACATTACCAGATGACAGAAAGCAGCACCTTCGCAAGATCTTAAAAGATGCAGAAATTACCGACCATAGAATGATCACAGAGACACACTTATCTCGAGAAGATCTAGCTCAACAGGGATTGTCTAAGGCTTCAATAACTATGCTGTATGGAGATGCTCATAAGCATATAAGTAATATGAAGCCTGAAAGAAGGGCTGCTCCAAAATCAAGGCGAACTTCAATTTTTTAACTGCTTGCTCTATTCCGCTCGGAAATCCAGGCAAAAACATTTGTTAACTGATCGCTCTATGCTGCCTTATGCGGATTTTAACCCCCCATCATTGTTATCAGTGGGTATATCAAATTTAAACTTTGAAAAGAAATACAATCATGATGTTTATTAAGAATTATGGTACTGTGCCCCTTCCATACAAAGTAAGGTCAGTTTGCATGATCGAGCTTCAAACTAAGCTCGAGATTTTTGAAGACACAGATCGCCCCCCTGGCGTAGAAATGGAGTGTCTTTTGTCTAGAGTAAGATCAAGCTAACACTTTAGCTCGATCCTGGTCGATCTGATCCCCTCCCAAAGCCCAGTAGCCTCAGATGATCGAGCGTCAGATTAAGCCGGATCTCGATGAATTGGAGACATGGAGATTCGCTCTGGGTTTGACACAATGTGTCTTTTGTTTGTCCCAGGATCGAGGGAACTTTTTAGCTCAATCTTATCTTTCTTACATCACACTCAACAAAACAAGGAAGTGTGTTTTTAGACCATTTGAATCTCCTAGGATCGATCGATTTAAGAGTGACATGGTGCTCGTGGCCCATTTGATCATCTCAAGATCCACCTAATCTTGTCTCTTATGTATATTCGGGCTCAGCCGAAACAGAGAACAGTTCATCTTAGATTTCAATCGATTGTCTCCTCCAGAAGACCATCATCCTTCTATTACAAGAATTATAAATAAAACTAAATCTACCCATTGGATCTATCTAATTCCGTTCAATAGTTTCTTGAATTAAATGATGATTGATAATGAAAAACTGATTTGATCTAGATCTATCAAATGAATCAATCTGATTTGGTTTGATATGTAGTTTCTTGTTTTGAATGATGATTTGATAATGAAGGATTGATTATTCATCCATTGAATCAATCTGATTTGGTTCTATAGTTTCTTGTATTGAATGATGATTTGAAACTGAATATCCGATTTGATTTGATTTGATAAGTTGAGGATTTGAAGACTTTGGGTGGACTCGATTTGATTGGGAGATGTAGAAGAGATGTAATCTTCAACTTGTTGGTCTGATGCTGATCGATTTGAAGTTTAGTTGCACCGAAGACGCTTGAGAACGAATCGCTCGAAGAAAAGATTGATAAGATTGATTTTGATGATTTGAAAGAAATTGAATAGATGAGCCAAGAAACTCGAAAACTACAGATAGGATAATGCAAATACCTCATTGGCCGAAATCAGTCATATGTGACCCATTCTACGATCGAGGACTTCATCGAATGTGCGATAATCACAATGGTGGTACAACTTAGGTAATAATTTGGGGCCAAATGTCTTATGAGCAGCCCTTCGTATTGGTCCAATCGGATTAGTCCTGGTAGCCAGTACTTGTGATCGTCGAAGGTCAAATTTGAAGGCGTTGAATCCAAGTTCAATCGGATTCAACTCAGGACAGTATGGTGGTAAGTAACGAAGAAGAATACCTAAAGTTGAAATTGTCCCGCTCGAATTAGCGATTTGGAAACACGACAGAGGAAAGATGATGAGATCAGACACACCTTTCTTACGACAGAGCTCAGCAATTGATCCACCACGATGAATTGAGGCATTGTCCAGTACTAAGACACTATTGTCTGCTGGAAATCGATTCATGCGAGGAAGCTGTACATTGAAATGATCTCAGTGTGGAGTAATGGGTATTGAAGTAGAGGTACAATGACAAACTAAGCTATACTTCAAAAATTTCTCGAATCGCTTCCGGTTCACCGGCCCCTCAAGAACTGAAAGAGCCAGCAAGCCATCATAAGTGATGGCTGGAAGGAGTGAATATTGACCTTGATGCATCTTAGGAACCTTGCGAGTAGTGCGGACTCCAATCTTGCTTCGCTGATGTTTTTGTAGCAGATCCCTCCCACAGACTGCGCTCTCGTCTGCAACCAGTGAGACAACAGAGGATTTCAATACAAGATTGCGAGAAAATATGAGATGAAAAGTGATATTGGACTGACCTGTAAACACCAAGAAATTGGACGGATAGCCCATCATATCGCGCATCCATTTCAACTTTGGCATCAAGGATTTCCGAGTGTTACTGACACAGGCCTTCTTCAAGCTTATCATAAGGCGGCTCTGAAGTTCGAGGTGAACAGTACTTATGGAAGGCATCTTCCCATGCGCATTGTAAAGCTTTTCTTGAATCTTGTCGAGGAAAAGGGATGGCTGGTCAAGAATCAATTCTTCCATGAATCTACGATCCGTGGCATTCAAGTGCTGGCGCCGACCACGGCGTTCGTAGGTGTCGGGATCGCGTATGACTGCACGGGTTAGGTGGTAGAGTTCAATCCATCGGCCAAAGGATCTGCGAGAAATTTGCTTGTTGAGTTGCTGTCGGATTAAAGATCTTGGAAGTCCTCGAAGACTCCAGCGAACCGCGAGCACTTTGATATCAGCTGAATATTTACAGAACCCCATCAAGAAGACAAGTATGAAAATTGATTGGTTGGTGGTAGGCTCTCTTGAAGTAGCTGAATCAAATTGGTTGAGATTGCAGGCGGGGCTGCACCTGCAAAATCTCTGACTGTGTCTGCTGCTGTACATACACTCACTGCAGTGACTGCGGCGAAATTCTGGGCTACGTTTTATTTTATTTTATTTCAACCCGGGCTTCCTTTTTAGCAAAAGTAATACTTACAATTCAACACGGAATAACACGGGATCAAAATGATCAATTGGAACTGATGAAATGTTTTGGAAAGAAAAAAGTGAAACTAGTCTACATTGAGATTTTTTTTCTCAGGTTCAGTTTGTAGAGTGTCAAAGTGTACTGATGTTTGAATGAAAGAGATATATGTGTGTGTACGAGAAACTTAAAACGAAGTTTGAATTGAATTGAATTGAATTGAATACTGAATTGACTGTAAATTGAAATTCATCGATTGAACAAGTGAGATGGTCTTAAATTTAACTACGCAGCGATGACGATAAACGAAACGGAAAAGGGTTTGTAAGAAGAGTTGAGTGATTTGAGTTTTGAGTTCAAACTTATCGATCATTTTGAATCAAAAGTTTGTAAAAGTAAAAACTTTAACTTGAAAATTTTTCGATTCAGAGACTCTTTGATTTTACAACATTTTATTTTACAATTTTAACTTTTGAATCAAGATCTTTTTTTGGGATTTGGAAATTGTGTGTAATAATTTTTGGGGTTTTTTTTTGAAAGACTTTTTCTTTTGAAAGGTTCTACTAGTAAAGTCAAATCAGAATATCAAGAGAAATAAAGTAAATTGAAATTGAGTAGGTTAAATATTTTTATCAAAGTAAACTGATTGACTAATTGTATGCACTTTGACCTTATTCTAAACTTCTTAAAGTCATCTCTGCAATCCAATTCAATCTTAGTATCTCATCTTATCTCATCTCATCTCATCAGTTCAAAGAAATTACTTAACCAATTGGAAAACAGATAGATTATAGCTTACCAAAAAATCAAAACAAATCAAAACAAATCCAAGCTATCATTGATCTCATCATTCAATCTAAAGTGGATATTTGATTGATAACTTCATTCGGCTGGTGTTTTTTTTTTTTGCTTTAGTTTTGATGCAAATCTTTGATGGTAATTGATCAATCTCTTTCCAAACTTAATCCAACTTATATCCATCTTCCTATAAATTGCTGACTTGATTTCAATTAGATCTTTAAGTTTTAGTCATCTACCATCATCATCATCATCACCATTAAAAGCACGAGATAACAAACAAAACAAAAGAAAATTGAACAAAGTTTTCAATCTGATTCTATTGCTTTTTTCTTCTTTTTTTTATGAACTTTTTAGATTCTTTAAGAATCTCAAATATTGAAATCTTGAATAACAAACATTTTGTTGACTTGATTCTGATTGAATAGAAGAAGTGGTGACCAACAAGATACAATTGACATCAATCATCTAATTTTTTATTTTAATCAATCTAAACTCTTTTGATCGATCAACTATATAGAACTATCATATCATATCAGAACTACAACCAATCAAATCAAATCAAGTTTACTTTATTGAAAGTTTGAAATCAAATACATACAACTTACTTCATACCCTACAAGTCGATTCATGAGAAAGTAGATCATCCAATCGCATTCATCCACTTGGCTGCAAAAAACCAAACAAATCCAATCTCATTCATTCAATTATCATCATCAACTTTATACTGGTTTTTCTTTTTTCCCTTTTACAACTTTCTTTTTTTTCTCTCTACTTACCTACCCAAAAAGACCGACGAATTTTATCTTCTTCTTCTTTCTTTCTCTTTCTTGTAAAACAAGAAAACCAATCCAAAACCCATCTCTATCCAATTTTTTTATTCTCACTGTTTACCAAAAAAGGAAGTATCAATACCATGCATCAGAATAATTTAATTCAACATACCTTGAACAATTCTCAATCGAATTTAAATCATCATCATCAAAATCATCAAAATCATTCTAATTCTCATTCTCATCAACCTATCATTAATCAATCACCTAATTCGTCAATCAAACGTATCAAAACAGATGAAGATGATTTAGAATTACTTGCAAAGAAGAAGAAAAATGCAGATGCTCAAGCTGCTTTTCGTTTACGTCGTCAAACTTACATAAAAGTTAGTACTTGCTTTGATTGATTCTTGACTGATTTCTATTTTTATATTTCTTCATTCATAGTTTTACTTTGTGATTTCGTTTGATTACGTGATGAGTTTCTTGATCATTGATTTACTTAAATGATTGGATTGGATTCTCTTTTTTTTTTCTTTTTACGAATTCGATTTCTTATGTAATAGAGTTTAGAAGACACTGTGACTGAACTACAAAATGCGGTAAAGGAAATGGTGAGTGTTAATTTCCTGATTCTCGTTCATCAAATAGTACTCATCAACACTAATCTCAAATCATGCACACGTTAATGATCTGAATGTTAATGAATTCTTTAGGAAGTCTTGGTAAAAACGGCTAACCTTGAAGTGAGTATGATTTGAATAGGATATGATTGATGATCGAGGATAAATCTTGAATTCTGAAATGATGATTCTTTTGAAAAGGTTAAGATCAAATGTGAACAAGTTTCATATTTAGAAAATAAAATTAAACAAAACCAAAATGGAATCTCATCAAGCAACAATCCATCAAGTTCACATTGTACTTGTTGTAGATTCTCAACCACTTACACTTCATCCACCACCACCACCCCAAAGTTTCTAAACCAACAAAACAGTTCATCAAACAACCCAACAAGCAACAACAACAACACATCTAATACTAACTCGGCTAATAATAATCCTAGTTCATCAATAGCAAATCATTCGATCTTAAACTCGGCTCCTCATACTCCAAACACTTTGGAAGCTCAATCAAATGAATGGTCAACAGCTTCAACTTCTCATAGACCTTATCCTTCGATCATCACATCTTCTTCGCATCATCAACCATCTTCATCTCCATCTCATTTACTTCAAGATTCAAGACATTCGAGTAAACTAGAACCTAATCGTCTCTATGATCAAGGAACATCAAGTTGAGTGATTGAATACTGACAATACTTTGTTCTATTTAACTAACATGAATACGACTTTTCCATTTCCCCCCCAAAAACAAACCAGATGATCACGAATCAAACCAAGGAAATCATTCCACAAATACTTATAATCCAAGATGTGATATCTCATTCTTTGATCCCTTCAACATAAACCAATCCACTCCACCATTCTATTCATCCCTAGAACCGGTACTAAACCCAAACCATCAGCCGACCAACTCACTAGACATGAACCCATCCTACAGCCGATCGAATCCGAGTACACCAAACCAATTACTCTCATCCCAATACCCTTCTTCATCTACTGGATCATTATCTCATCCTTCCAAACCTTATCCTTTAAACTATTCTTCGGTTCTTGATGATCCTCATCATCATGCTTTTGGGTATGATGAAGATCATCCTCATCCTCAAGCAGGTATTAAGAAAAGAAGAGAAGAAGAATCTAATCTAACTCAAGCTCATAAACTTAATGGGTTACCTGCCAAGGTGGCTAGGTGTGAACAAACTGTGATGGAAGTTTCGAAAGTCGTCTTACAAGCTAAAGAACAGTTGAGTTGGTTTCCATTTCGTTTTTTGATTTACAAAATTTGGATTTTTTTTTTCTTTTCATTTCACAAAGCAGTCGGGTCTGATTATCGTTTTTTCTTCTTTGGTTTGCTTTGGTAGAGCTCAATTAGTGGCTTCTGAACAACAAAAACGAATCATGAAATTAAACTCTTCTCAAGCTTTTTAAACTATCCATCCATCCAAACATATATCCCAAGTCCAGGTTTTTTCTTCAAACACGCTTTACATATTTTTTTGAAGTATTTTTTTTATATATATCAAATCACTTTTAAATTTCATGGATTTACTTTTTTTCATTTCTTGATGATCTTTTCTTTTCTTTTATGATCTTTTCTTTTCTTTTATGATTTTTTTGGTTTTATGATTTTTTTTGGTTTTTTTGGTTTTTTTGGTTTCTTTGTTGGGGTTTTTGGTTTCTTTGTAGAGGTTTTTGGTTCGGATTAAGGGTTATGTTTTTTTTATCTATCTCTATCTGTGTGTTTTTCTTTATCTTATCTTGTCTGTTTGAGTTTGTTTGTTTGATTTTTTTTTGTTTGATCTTTTTCTGGAATTAATCGTATATCATAACCTTGAATAAGTTTTTATTTAAAAAAACCCTTGATTAGGAGAGAGTGAGTAAATGAAAAGTGATAAAAACTTTAAACAGGTCAAAAGTTTTTTGATTTATTTTTTTAGATTTTCTAAGATTTGATTTTGAGATGTTCATCTTCTTGTTTAAAAGAAGAACTTTCAATCAAAATGATGTCTTGAGAATTTACCACTCATTTGATCTTCATAAATCTCTAAGGCCCTCCCCAAAGTAAGCTTGAAGTTATGAGCTTTGATATGTACTGCAGCAGAGATTCAGTGCTGGTCAAGCTTCAGAGGTGCTGGCCTTTAGGAGAGCCAGTGAGAGTTGCTAACTGAGACCTGCCACTAACAGTGTCAGCCTTTCATACACCATGGCTTGATCTCACCTGTCTTGTTGGTGTCCAACCAACCTACCCACAATACCTCTGGTGAAATTTGTCAAAGGTTATATTCCATCACTTACACAATGAATGAAGTTGTTAAGCCTTATAAAACTTCACATCCACTGGTCTCATCCACTCAACAAGCCATTGCCTCTGTCAGAATATCAATGCTACTCTTTAAATTTCCACCCTCCCTCTCTGAAGACTTTCCTGACCTATACTTGGCTTTCTCCCTTTGAGACCTATTCAGATTTGTGGCTGTGGCTACTAAAGCTTCCGATTTCACAAACACCCAAAAGGCAGCTGAATCAATTGTATCCTTTCTCTGTGCATCCTTCAATCTCATCCTCCCAATTACCCACTTGTGCACCAACCTGGCAAATGTTTTTTGCCTTTGATGGCCCAATTTGCACAGGTGATTTGCAAGAACAGCTATCTCCCCTGCCTTCTGGTTCAAATCCTGGAATACACCCTCATAGCTCCAGGCACCCCCTGTCTCCTCTCAGCATGTAAATATCCTTGTAGCATGTCAATATGCACACACAGGTCTTTCCTTAGACCCGGTATAGACCCATCAAAGAGGTGACATATGAACAGGCACATCTTGCCCTGATCAACTGCAAGATTGACAGTCAGTTGATCCCAGCTGAAGACAAAGGATTTAACAAATACTTTAAATAAATCACTCTTCACAAAGGGTGCTCAACAACAATGTCAGTCTAAATCTTACTAAAAGAGTTTTGGATTTGTTTAAAAACTCTCTGTGTGTGCTTGTTGATGTGCTACCACGTCAAGGACATTGACATGATGTCTGTATGACTGCCTCCACCAACATGCAGCACTGTTCTGGTCTTGGATGGTTACCTTTACAACTTTGATGGTGTACACACTGTTGCTGTAATCACTCTCAATTGCCCTGTATCACCTTCAACCTTGTCCCCCAAAATTCTAATACATTTGTTTCTGACTAAACTTTCTTTTTTCATCAGGATGTGCTGCATATTACTGTCCAAGCTACTAGTCAAACAACACCATTCAAACATACAAATCTGATCTGAATGAACAAACCCACAAAGCTTTCCAGTTCAGCTGCCACTGTTTCATGACACACTGTCTGGCCAAGGTTTTCACAAATGGTCAGATACTTTGACAGTAAGTCAATCTTGCCAAAACACAGCCACCAAAGAAAACAATTGCACTAATACTTGTTTCCCACCCTGTTTTCCCACAGTTGTTCCAGCTTTTACCTTGTGTATTTATTCAATGTGTCTTGTGGGGATGAGGATGATGTACCTGCACCAACCCTTCTTGCAAAATTACCAGCAGAGACAGATTAGCAATTCACTGTTTAATGGCTAAAGCCAACTCAGCTTGTAGTTGTGTAATTGTTGTATGACACCTTGTTTGCGCACAATAAACAATACAACACAATTGAATCTTTAATCAGATGGATTGCCTTGCAAAAAAGCAAGCATCATAATCAGGCTTGCTCAGTGTGCATACAACCGGTCCTGCTACAAGGCAAAGAGGATTCTGAACAGCTAGGATGGAGGTCAAAAACACACCCAAGAATCCATGCCCTGTCAAAAAGCTAATCATCAGATTGTTTGATCCATTTCAGACATCCAAGCTGTGTTGACCAATGGAATCACCATTGGTCACTGAAAATGCACTGTCACTTTGGAACAAATGTGCATACTTGCACTGGCATGAATTGAGTGTAGCATAGCAACATCTCATTATTAACATAACACGTGTGTGGTAATATGTGCATTGTAGATGATATATTTCTCTTTCTAACATCATGACATCATTTGTTAGGGCCCGTTCAGACACCGCGAGCAGATATGATGTGGCCAAATTTCACACCAAAAAAGTGACATACAGCCACATTGTATCTGGGTCCAATCTCGACCAGATATTCGAAATCAGATCAGCGTTTGGTTCGAATATTTGAGGTCAATATCTGATTGTCAATATCGAGATATTGGTCCACATCGAGATACAGCCTTTTGGCCATATCTGAAGGCTCTATCTTGATGTGCCCCTCCTCCATCTATCTTCTTCGTTCATCTCCTTCTCAACTTCTCATCACCCACACACACCCTTATGTTCTTCGATCCTCACTGCTTTGCTCATCCACCCTCACTCCATAATAGTTTTTACTATTTTGATCATTTTATAATCTCATCTCTGCCTTGTTTAGATATTCTTCTAAAGGATATTGTTCAAGGATCTTATTTGAATAGTTATACTAAACTTTGAAAAATGCTATCAATGATACTTTGATTCAAAAGGTTTGATCAATCTTACCTTTGAGCAGTAGTAGAACTAGAATCAACCGACAATTTGATAACGTAGATTTAGATGATGAAATTATTAAAAGATCAATTTAAAATGTATTTATCAAAGTATATAGATGAAGAAATTGACCAATTAGATTATTAAAGAGATAAGATCGAGTTCAAAAGAAGAATGGATACATCAAATGGAAAGATTACAGTAGGATGAGAACAATGAAGGTCAACAATGATTGTTTCAAAAGTTTGAGTTGAACAAAAAGATACATACAATCTCATGTGGTTGTTACCTAACAGAAATATGATCACCGCAAGGTCAACAGACGTCTTTTGACCTCTTTTGGATCACTGTTTGGCAATCTCAATATCTGAAAGACCAGTATCTCGATGTGCCCCTTGAGATAGGGGCAAATCAAAATTTGGTTTTCAGGTCAGATAATATCTGAAAACAACCCAAACGGGCCCTTAATGTTTGATGATTACATTTACATATAAGACCAACCTATTCTTTGGTACCGCAAACAAAGGCACAACTTGGAGGTGAGTTCCATGATGGTGGTACTAGTTGAGATGGCTAAAAGCATATGCTTCTAACCGGCGCCGCGGGAGGAAAAAACTTTCCACCTTTCCAACAGGTGAAGTTCAGAATTTCCTATTCCCACACCAACAGACTCGACTATCCTGGAACCCAGCACATCCAAATCTTGGTACACAATCCTCAGTTTGGTTCTCTTTTAGATTCAAAAATACCACCCACCCACCCAGCAAGTCAATGGAACGGCTCTTGGTTTTTGCACAGGAGGAAAAGTTTTACCAACCATGCAAAACCAGACCGGCCTGCGGCCCGCCATCCCGTAAGCTTGACTATCTAAATGTCAGAAGATTCGGGCGGGTGGTATATGTGGATCTAGCACATATAACCACTTTTCAGTTTTACTTATGGTTAAAGCCCAAAGAAAACAGTCCCACTCCAAATGGAATTTGTTGTTCTTTTTCTTCATCAAACTTAACAATTGTTTTTCTCAATCTTTCTTTTAGATTGTGATTCATTCGATCATACATCACTCTTAAGTCAAGACTGATATCTGATCCTCATTCTATCCAGATACCTGAATTTCTCTGCATATGGGCTGCCTCCTCCAAATTAAGGGCCCTGAACGGCTCCTCTTGCCCTCAACCATGACTGGGTATGTCCCACCCACAAAATACAACTTGGTTGGTGCTGCCTTGCACAAACATGTATAAGTGACACTTCAAACTTTGGAATTCACATCATATCTCTCCAACCTGACTGTTCACAGCCAACAGAGATGCCTCAGATTTTAAAATCCGAGGTATCCTCGGATGGCAATAGACTCGGACTGTGTGTCTGAGTAATTGATCTGAGGCAATCTCCGGGGCCATAGAAAGCCTCGGATTAATTCCTTGGAAACACAGTCCAAGGAAATGTAGGTCTGAGGATACCTTGGATTGCAAAATCTGAGGTATCTTTGCTGGTAGTGGTTCTAACCAGAGAAATTTGATCTGGAAACTCATTTCTTTCTCATGTACTTGCTTGATTGACGGTGATAAATCTGTCAAGATTTTTTGTTATAAAAGTACTCATTATGATGATATCATAAAATCAAATCAGCTGGCATTTGGTCATAACCAACGGAAAACTTATGTCCTTTATCAGGACACAAAGATGAGCACACAAAATCCAAGAGCGGGTTTGTGACTTGTTTGATTTCCAAAATCTCAGCCTGAAGCCAAGAACTTATGCAAAATTCCATATGTTTCACAAGGACCTCGTAGATGAGAATAAACGGGGGAAGTTGGGTCAATAACCTAGTAAACTCGTCCTCTCTGCGTGGTGGCAGTGCATAGAGCTGTAATGACGGTCTGCGCTCGGGGCTGTAGGCATCACACTTGCGGTGCGGAGTCTCACCAGGGCGGGTTTAGGGTGGTAAGATCCAAGTCTGATCGAAGGGGGATTCTCATAAATTGAAGGCATTGTTTGTGACGATTTTCTTTTCGAAAACTTGAATCCCTGAGCTTGAAGACTCGTCTCAACATCTTAAAAGTCCGTCTGCAATATTTGATTAAAACTCACTCGAACCGAACCTTTCGAGTTTTGGTTATCAAACACTTGATTACCCATCGAAATCAGTATGAAGAAAACAATTTTATTGTGGGGATGGTACTTGATAATTTCATCTAGTAGTTTTTGCAGCCTCATCCCGTCGGGCAGGCAGGTCGACGAAGGGGTCTACATACAAGCGCGACTCAATAAAATAGAATCCATCCGGCCATTTAATGAAGCGGTCCAAAATATCGAATCTAAGGCTAATTCAAGGACTTTGATGCCAAACCCATCTGACAGAACCACTAGAAATCTTGCTGCTTACAAGAGAATGCAAAAGATTCGTGATCTTTATTCCAGCATCATCATGGATCCATTATGCACCATTCCTGAAGAGTTGGAGCGCATGGTTGAGAAAGTTGAAGTCAACTCTCGCATCTTCACCGATGATCTTTACCTTCAACAGAGTATAATCACCGCATTGGATTATTTACAAGAGAGTTATATGAAATTATATGAAAGAGTGTGGACTTTGAGTGTCCTCGATACACTTCAATCTTTGTTGCCGAGAGGGAACCTCAACCCTATCAGAGAAGACCCAAACACAGGTAGCGTTAGTCGAGGCGGATTGGAGCTTTTTTTATTGAAAGGCTTAGGTATGTTAACCTTCAAATACTGTCCTAGATAGGAAAAGCAAGTATTCATTTTATGTTCAGGAATTGACTTTACACCTAGGGTCAATGGTGTCTTGAACGCGAGAACAGAAATGTTTCCAGTAGACGAAGGTGAGTATTTCACTATTCATGAATCGTGTGAATCCCTTCGAAATGTGAAAAGCTGATACGATTGAGACGATTCTAGCTGTGACTGAAGTTCTAGAGCGAGTTGAAGTGATTGAAGACCTCGGGTTCTTCCTTCGATGGACTGGAATAGACTCACCTATACTCATAAGCATACACGACCAACTGCTTCAAAATATGTCTTTGGCTAAACCGGGAATTGCGGATTCATTGATATCCCATTTATTGCGTTTCAAGATTGTTGAAGAAACTACACCTGGAGAAATCAAACGTATATACCAGATAATGCAACATCTACACTCCTTTTATCCAGTTACGAGGCAGCTTGCTATCACAGAAGCTCTGGAGCGAGTCAAGCTGATAATGGACATTAGATTCGGCCTTATCAACTATGCACTATATCCAGAAATGGAAATGAAGATTGAAGAGGTGTACAAAAAATTCATTAAAGTAGAATCTTTGGACGATGCAAATATTTTAAAGTTATTGACATTGCAATGTTTGGAACACATCAGTTTGAAAGCTATTGCCAACGTATGTATCGAACAACTGTGTCATATATTAAAATACTTGGAGAAATCGTACCCGGACTCTCAAGAGCTGGCAATCACTAAGGGTCTCAAGCGAGTCGAGTGGATTTTGAAGATCAGAACGTATCTTAAAGATGCTGAACTACACGAACAAAAAACTCAAATCACAGAATTCTACAAAAAATCACTTCCAACAAGCTCTTTAGACAAGACCAGTAATGTGGAATTAACATTGGAATGTATCCAGCACATTGCCCTCAATATTCCTGGTGACCAAGCCGTCAGATATGTCTATTCAATATTAGGATATCTGGAGGAGTTTTATGAATCTTCCAGACAGCTCATTGAATCTTCGTTATCAACCAATAAACCATTCAGAGCAATTGACCTGTGGGTCAAGTCCCAATCAGAATTACAGCCTCATCTTCAAGCATACTTCAAGAAGGAAGATAAGGACCCTTACATCATGCACCTTTTATTGCCTTTTGAAAGCCTGCACATGGTGGATGTTTCGTATGTCAAGCAATGTTTACTTAAATTGAATGTCCGAGATTCAGTACTCACTTCAGGTAAAGGAGAATTATATGGCCTAGATTTTAAAAATGTGGAGAAATATCATGAAGATCAAGACTTTTTCATTGGAATGATGTATAAATTAAGTCCTTACATTGAAGGACTTGAAGAATACCTGAAAATGCATGTGTGGAAAAATGGTAAGCACTTCTTTCCCTTTCAATAATAATAAAATCTTGGTGATCCATGATAGAAGTCATTCCATCTTGGTACCATGGCAGCTCCATGCACCAGAGCATGTATGTGCATGCTTGCAATTTGTTCAGCCACAAATAAGGTGGAGCTGACATAAATGCAAAAGGCCACTGAGATCCAGAATATATAGTTTTTTTTCATTCTGACTGGATTTCTGATCAAAGTCACCTTGATACTTTTGTAGCAGACAGTGGTCATTATGGATTTTTATCAAGTCTATTACTCTCAGATGAAGATGAAGACTTCAAAGGAAACCTCATTGGTGATAAAAATTATGAACAATGTGCCATTTGTAAAGCTGGATTCTTGAAGTGGCAATCCCTTGTAAAGTTAGAATGTGGGAAGGTACCCCACATGTTTCATGAAGATTGTTTAAATGTAAGTTGATTATCCCCTGACCTACACAATCAATAACACAAACATCATAACACTTTGCTGATATGGTCTGTTTCTCTAATGGTTTCAATTTTTCTGGGTGTGAATTTGAAATACTAACACAGAGTTGGATTGTGACATCTGGTGGCAAGAAGTTCAATTGTCCCACATGTATGAAGCGGACCAAAGCACAGCTTACCCAAGATCAGCACCTGTTCTGGAGGCCACTCAAAGCTCATCATAACATTTCATAAGCTGTGCTGTGTGTTATTTGCTCATGAATAAGCAAACACAGACTCTTATTGAGGTAGAAAAGGAAGTTGTGCACACTTGTTGACACACAAGTGCTACATACTATAGACACAGGGACTTGACTGCTTAGCTTTCATCCAACTATTTTGTTTTGACTCTCCTTGTGATTACAGATTTTCAGACCTTGATAAGCTATGATGTGCTGAAATATTACACATCACAAATACATCCACTGATAATGTTGATCCATTCTCATTCTCTTTTGATTTGTGATTTTTTGATTTCTTCTGAGATGGTTTTATTGTCATTGTCTGGAATGTTCTCGAGTCTTATCTTCAGTTGTCCTCAGTGTAGCTGCTGAAATCATGTTTTTCATTCTAGATCCTTCCATTGAGCCTTCACTCCCTGAAATCAGGTTCAAAGGGACTTAGTCCCATTCCCTCAGTCACTATTGTCCTCTTCTTGTGAGAAGAAAAGCATCCAGAGATCTCCAAAAAAATATCTTCCTGGTGCATCCCCTCAAGAGGGAAATGCAATAGTTTTGCCTTTTTCTTGCACACCTCACTGTCAGACAATATCCAACATCAAGTCTTACAATTTGGCATGCCTAGCTTTCAACCACAAACATTTTGCATCAAGATTTTTAGTAGATAAAAAGGGATCACAATTCAGATAAATCCCATTGTAGATTAAGAAAGACAAATATATTGATCAGCCCAACCAGTATCCAAGGGTATTTGGGGGTGGACCCACCTATTCTCTGGTGTTAGTTAGTTGACCATTTTCAACATGTCAGATCACTCTATTTACCATGTTAATACCATCCCTCCACTTGACTCAATAGAAAATTTGGTAAGAGTCCTTCTGTTCCAGATGGTTCAGAAGTGGTAAAAATAGTTGTTTATATGGACTGAGGATGAGGTAATAGTTGATAGAAATTAACCGTTGAAAAGATTGAATATATTCTTCAAGGTACAAATTTGCTAATAGCCAATTCTAGAAATCAACCTAGAATTGGCATCTGACAAGCATTCTGTGAATTCTATAAATTGAATGCTCTAGAATTTGCAGAATGCTTGTAATGAAGAAAAAAACACTTTACAGAATGCAATTTCTACACTGTCCAGATTTCTGATACTTTACCAAACACGCTCTCAAGTTGAGGAATTGCTTTCTGCTGTCAATGTGTCCACACCAATATGTGCTCACTACTTCACAATCTTATCAAGTTTAGTCAAAGGTTATTTGCCAGAAAGCTGATCAAGGACATGGTACTAGTAGCTTAGAAGGTGAGGTGTCATGAAAGTTCAACAATGAGTTTGTTTGAGAAAGATGAAGAATATGTAGAAGTTCAAAAAAAGGACTTGATGGATTTACCACTGCCAGGTTGAAGGTCTTTTAAACAAAGACAAGATTCAGATTTGGGAAGCCTTACATACTCCTTTGAGGATAGGCTTAGGTTTCAATTCATGATTTATTTCATTCAGTTTACCATTTTACCATTGATCTTTCATCTGATCAATCCAGCTTACCACCCAAAACCACCATGCACACAGCACACCACTGATTATTAACCATCAAACAAACTGTTAAAGGTAAATTTTGCAAATTTGTTCATTTCTGAAGGACGAGTTTCCTGATTTCATTTTTGAATACGGTGAAGATACATAAGATTTATTCTGAGTATGATGATGTTAAACAAATCAGTCAATGATATAACATCTGTGACAAAGTAAGTTTCAAATTGATTGTTTGACAGATTTGATGAAGACAGAGAAGTGTTAATTGATCAATTTATTTTTAGGATTTCAAATCACAAGAAATCATACATAATATTGGTAACAAATTAAATGGATCAAATGTGAATGGTTTCAGGAAGTCAGAAATTGAACCAGAAAGAGGATTTAACTTACTTGACTGGGTGCTTTGCCTGGTACATAAAGATTTCTTTTTTGAACCTGCAGCTGCCTTTAATAAAAGGATATCCTAATAAAATATTTACTTTCCACATATTTTCCTAACCCAATGGATCATGTATGAGCTAAGCTTGAAAGCCACGAGCAATGGTGGCGGGTTCTTCAGCAATTTATTTTTGATCATGATATTTCCGAAATATGCTCACAGCTTGTAGATGTTATCAGGTTGAGCCAAAGTTTCCTTGCCAGCAAGTTGATCAAGGACATGGCAGGTGGGAAGGTGAATATATTTTGCAGATCTTGGTTGTCAAGAGAGGTGTCAACAGGCTTAAGGGTATGAAAACTATACTCAGAATAAAGTTAAACTGTACTACAATTCCAAATCTAAAACCGTTGGTGCCTCTCAGCATATTCGAAATTAAGAACCATCAAAACAGTCATCATCATCAACCAAGACCAACTCACAAGATAATATCAATTCTTTCCACATCGTAAGATTCATTTCGTTCTTGTGATTCATCCTTTGTCATGCAAGTTTATAATCATACTCTAACTCACATTCACCTTTCTATCCTTCAGTAGTCTTACGGTTTACCTTGACGGCCAATTACCCAGATCTCTTTTCTCAATTCACTAGCGAGGACTCTCCTAACGACTCATACCTTTTACATTGTATCAGATTGGCTGCTGGATTGTCAAGAAAGAAAGAATCGCGATAAATTTCCTGCCACGTCACGATCGGACTGGCATATTATCATACGATGAGATTTCGCCGGTCAACCTTCTCGATTCAATTTCTAATCAGTTTATTGTACTTCACTACCTTTGTCAAGTCTTATCAGGTTTTGATCTCAGATACCGTTAGTAGGCTTAATTTTACCATTGATTTGTTCAGTCATTTAACCGTTATTTCAGAAATCTAATTTATGATGTCTTTTTACGTTTGGACATTTTGATAGGATGATGTCAGACAGGGTAGGTAACATTTGTCTTGTGATCGAATCATCAATCGTATCTCGAGAAGCGAAGTTCACCCGATCGCTGATGTTTTCTTATCGCTTCTTTCATCATTGTAACGGATGGTACCTTTCTCACGCTATATCCTGGATAATCACCAACAGTCTGTTCTGGAATGTGGCAGAAATTTGCCGGGTCTCGGGAACCTTATATTGAGAGTGAGTCTTCGGAACCTCGCTCAAAAGCTACTCAATTGGAACACCTTTGAAATTTGTACAGATTTTGAATTTTAGAAGTATAGTGATCCTAACCCAACTTTCACTTAGTTTTATTTGGTCCTGCATCTAAAGGTCAATTAGCATTAGTCATTTATGAATGGGCAGATGCAAAATATTTGGGAATGGATGAGTCCGATCCGAAAACACCCAATACCTGGAGCAGCAATGTCAGTTTTTTCTAGCATATAACATTTTACTTCACATCTGACATGCATTTGTCATCGATAGCGAACATATGTCTGCACACTTGATGCTGTCAGTCGTCGATTATGTACCTCCGAACACCTGGGTGAATTTATTGTTGCACCTCTACCAGCTGGGGTTACTAAAGAGTCAACTAGTATATGGACTAAAAGTGTTAAGCTTACACCTCAAAGTGCTTCTGATATGGCTTCAACAAAGAAGGAGAGTATGGCCATTGGACCCTGGCGATATAATGTGACTAAAACTGGATATTGTGAGTAATTTTGTTAACAAGAAGCGAAGGTTTACTATCAGTCCCAAAGAATTCGGCCTATAAAGTTTGATTTGGTGGTGATAGCTCCAAACTCTGTGATGGAGTAATAACGGAAAATCATTGTCGAATCGAATCCACTGACCTAGCAATTTTTGTTTGAATTTCCGTCAGATTGTGTGGGAGCTGTTCCATTGACTGCCGGTGCAACTCCAAATGACACTACTACGACCTACACGTCTTACACTGGTGTGGTAGACTTTCAAAACGTGTTCAAAGGCAACTTGCCCGCTGGCGAATATCCCAAAGTGGCTGTCAGTGTTTCAAAACCTTTTCATTGATATGGTGACATGATCTAGCTAAAGTTTTCCAGAGGTTGCCTTTTGTTATTCATCATAGTTCTATGCAGCGCTCACATTGATTTACGTTCTTGTTGGTATGCTATGGACATACAATTGTTACAGACATCGTACAGAGATTTTGCCCGTTCAGGTTCGCTCTCATTATAAATGGAAAAAAGGTCCATGAAAGAGTCTGACTTTGTTGTATTTCCAACATCATCTTCAGCATTACATCTCGGCTAGTATTGGATTTCTAGTAGTAGAGTTAGCAAGTGTTTCGGGTTACTATAAATATGTCAATGATGTTGGCGCCCCCACGGTTACACACGCTCTGTTAGTCCTCGGTACGCTATCCCCAATATTCATTATACAGACTGATGAGATTATACATCATTGCTTATTCCGCTTTTTGCTTTGTCAGTCTCAATCCTCAGCGCAGCAAGGAATGCCATGTCATTCTTTATGCTCCTCATCGTATCCTTAGGCTATAGTATTGTAAAAGACTCTCTCGGATCGATGATGATACGGATACGTCTTTTGGCGGCTGCTCATTTTGTATTTGGTGTGGTGTTAGTACTATTCTTGGTTCACAGCTTAGGAAAGGTCAACACATTGGTCTTACATTCGCTCTCTTTACTTTTCTTCTCTTAGCTACGCTATTGGAATGGCAACGTTTCCCTTTGAATCAGCTGGACTTTGGATCTTTTTCATGGTCTTCCCTTTGGCATTTACATTGACTGGATTTATGATGTGGATCATGGCAGCATTATCTCAAAGTTCGGATCCTTTCATCTACTTATTGTCTAATCACACCTTTCCTCCTTTTTGATCTGATCATGAATAACCTCTTCAAACACGCAGCTATTCAGGATCTCGAGAGCCGCAAGCAAACCTACAAGAAGCAGAGTACGCCATTAATTATCCTTTTCAGTCTTGATCCGTGGCAATCTAAGAGGTTTACTAACGTATATCGCTCCAACCCAGTGTTTGTGAGATTACATCGAATCCTTATCGCCGCCGCTGTGGTTATTATCCTCTTCTTTTTGGTTTCCTCGATCTCCTTCTCCAATCGACTTCAAGAAGATTACGCACCCGAAACATGGCGAACACGATGGTTCATCTTAGATGGATGGCTTGCACTCCTTTATATTGTCTGTTTTATTTCCGTTGCATTCTTATGGAGACCAACGGCTCGTAACAGGTATTTAGCAATGAGTGATGAATTAGCACAAGATGAACAAGGTGCAGATGATTATGATGATCGTAGAAGAAGTGGAATGGGTGGAGATGATGATGAGAATGGTAAAGAATGGGTTTCACATGAAGATGGTGGTGATGCTGTTCCTTTGCAATTAAGAAGAGTTGGAAATGAAACTGTTGTGGTTTGTCATACTTTTTTATCTTTTCATATTAAGCATCATCTAGACGTAGTTCCCAAACTAATCAACATCGGAATATTTGTGTGAATCCTTTGACAGTTTGATATCGGAGATGATGAAGATGAAGCAGATCAACGTACAAAAAGAAGATCAAGTGATGGAAGTGAAGAAGCTCAACCATTACGTAGGACAGCTTCAACTGAAAGACCACCTGATTATAGATAAACCATCACTTCTTATCCTCCTATATAATTCGGTTTGATCACTCTAATCTAAACTAATTGAAATTTGGGAGAATCCAAAAGATTACAGAAGGGATTTATGGAATGGATAAGATCAGATTGTTTGTATTTCTTTTTTTGTTTGTTTTGTCTTTATGCTTGAGTAGATTTGGTTTTGGTTTTGGTTGTTTTAAGAAAGAAAGAAAGAAAAAAGTGATTAAATGCAGATTATAAAGAGATTTTGTGTCACTTTTTATTAATTGAAAGTGATTTTTATGGAAATGCATAAAAGAAAGAAAAACTTATTATGTAGTTGAAAATGATTTAAAATCTGAACAGTTGAAAATGGAGCAAGTAAATAATAAAAGAAACAAAGATTTGATTTCTTTAATTATCATTCAACACTGACAAATTATCATAAGATCTCGTATCATAAATAGATTACAAATTGTAGTGAGAAGAGACATTTTCTATTAGCTTTTGTGGGGATATGGGTTCAGAAGTTTTTGTTAAAGAAACCTACACAAACTTTGATTAATTGTTTTATAAATTTTAACGCGATGAAGTCCTGTCTTTATACTTCTTTGTGTTCATCCCAATCACATCCAGCCATGAATTGCCCCAGCCTGTTGGACTTACTTCACATCGCGAGCATCTTGGAGAACAAGTTGAAGTCTGTAAGGATGTATGAGTGATTGGGTTGCTCGTATTTGTAATTTAGTGATCAAGTTGGGTCGCAAGGTTTAGTGCTATATATACGTGACCCGACCCTGAGACAAGCCAGCCGCTGCTTCACCCTCAACGATGTCGTTTGGTCATCATTCTTATCATCGCTCTGGTAATATTTTCTCATCCTTCTGTGGTAAATCTTATTTCTTGTCATCGTTCATTATAGATATCCTTAATCATCAGAAATTATTGTTTATAAGAAACTTCCACATAAATAATTATATACTTGAATTGATCGTATGGTCATTATTGCGATGGATTTTATTTATATCACAATAATGGTCTGGTCTGCAATAATTGATTGATGAGTTCAGAGGGAAGTCACTCGACTTATCCAATTCTATCGATTTGTTAGGATTTGATATGATTTTGATCCGATACGCACACAAAGAACTGTACATAGGACTCAACGAACGCCTCACAGCGCCTTGGTTGGAAGAAATTGGAGGGTATTTAAAGAGATTTCAAGTTTTTTACGGAGTCTCCCACTAGGTCGGATCCCTTGACTTACCGCAAAGATCAACTATTCCAATTCACCAATGGACCTTCGCGGGCTCCCACCTGCAGCCTTGAGGCAGTCCAGAGTTGCTGAATCATTTAAGTGTACGTAAAAAATCTTCAACCGCAACTTATTCCTTTTCACCTTTGCTATCTTTCAAAAAAAACTCATCAAAAGCGACATTTACATCATGTTTACCTTCTATGCCGACACCTAAAAGTTTTTTCTTTCTTTCGAGCTGGTCTGAGGCTCAATTAATAAATAGCAGTATCACTGATTTGTTTTCTTCCTTCTGGTTCACAAAGATATTTTGGAATCAGTTCCTCCAGACGTCAATCCATTCGAATTCGGGCACGAAGTCATCAACAGTCTTCGATTCCCCAAGGTCCCACTTGCGACTTGCGTCGTACTCTTCGTCTTTTCAATCATTCATTTCCTCACCTTTATTGTTTGTCTCGTCATACTGCTACGCTTCATCTTTCCCAAATCAGCTGCGCAAAAAGCCAAATATGGATGGTTGTTCAGAAGGATCTGTGTGGAAGATCGGGACGGGAATCGGGGTATGTCGACGTCTTGTTTACTTTTGCTGAAGCAAGTGATATCCAATCAAGAGTGAAGCTAATCCTCGGCATTATCCTGAAACATGGATGCATTTCCCATGATCGGATTAGTGGAGACCACAGCGCTCATCTTGCCCAACAGTGGACCTCTGATGGCAGGCTTCCAGATACTGGCGAGCAGTGCGGCGCAAGCAGAAATCTGGCTCACTTTGGCCTCCTTTAAATCTTACGACTTGGCTCCCAAGTACAGTTTGTTACTCTGGTCAGTCTGAAAGCCATTTTTTTCCTTGAGTCACCCTGTATATGATTTCTTGGAATTTGATAGCTAGGTTCACAAAACTAAAACAGATGTCACGGTCTTTTTCTCCTTAGGCTCTATATATCTTGGGCATTGACTTACTACGGCTTTTGGGTCACGGCCTGGGCCTCAGTCTACACTAGGTAAGTTGACCACTAAAAAACGTCTGGAACATGTGCGTATGACAAATACCAAAGGAGAGAGATATCTAAATTGTGACCTTCGACATTTTTCAAAAACAGGCTGTATACCCAGACCGCGTACGCAGAAGCAGTCAAATCTTCACCTTATTACATCTTCAAGCCTCTATTCCTCAATTGTTTCTTTCTAGGCGTACCGGCTTTGGTCACTCTTGTTCAAGTCGGACTTCTCGCTTGGCACATCACGGCTTTCTGTCATGAACGCGACATCTGGTCTGACCTAGTCAACTCACTGAAGCAAGCAGCAAAATCGTGGACAGCCTTAAATAAATCTACCAATGCCGCCACCGCAATTTTGAGCGACGGACTATTCAAAAATGTCACTCGGGATCGTAATGCAATCACTTTGGTTGATCAGACACGCGATGTGACACGGATGGCCGCTAATGTAGCGCACATCGACGATGAGCTGATCCGAAGATCACAAGTGATGGCCTTTGCTTGGGGTGTGTTCCTTCTGATCACTCTAATGGCGAGTCCCTCTAATTTTACAAACGGTAGCAAAGCATGTCAAATTAGCATAGCTAAGTGGCAATTACTTTCGGGACACTTTTTAGATCTACGCCGCGGCAACTTGGTCATTGATTTCTCTGATCAAGAGCGCTGATGTCGAACCAGTTCGTCGGAAACGAAAGATGCAAGTAGGTTTACTTGCGCGACGCAGAAATGTCTACACTGAAGATAATGGAACAATACCTCTTCATAAGGAAGAGGCGAGATTGCTTCGTCGAGGGTTGCGTCAGTCCCTTTTTTACTTTATCATAGTCTGCAAATGTAGATCATATTCTAACGTTGATGGGATTGTGATTGATGTCATCTAATATCGAGTTTAGGTTACCTAACTTTACATAGCTTGACAATGACTCTTGCCATCTTGTATTCGACTGTCGTCTGTTTTCTCATGGGCACTCATGCCAAAGCTATTGTGCTCACGTGAGTATCTTTTTCACTGCCTTGTATAGAGTGATTGGCAACCCACCTCAAAACTTTCTGTTCATTCTCCATGAACACTTTTAATCTGACTCTGGCGGGGTATTCTTAATCAAAGGGCACACTGGCGTGGATTAGGTTCATGGCTATCTCTGGCCAGCGGAATCTTCATTGCCATCGCAATGTCGTTTCAATTTGTAAGATTTGTTCTGTTTCTCTACGGTCAAGACTTCTTTGTGGAGAAACATTCTCATCGCGTCACTTTTGATGTTTCATCACTGGTACCGCAGTGGCGCGTATGGGTCGATCTAGACATCATCATACCAGTTCAAGACCCACGGAAGCAATATGAACATGACTCACAAGACATTCATATGCAAACAAACACAGAAGATTTCACAACGCCTTGCATTTCGAATGATTAAATCTCTAGTTATCCTCTTTGATCATCGTATTTATCTTGGTGTTTGTGTTTTTAACAATCAAGTTGAGTATTCCACATCGCTGGGATTAAAACCTTGATCAAACTTGACCGTCATTTGAAGATAAAATTTCTTGAACTGTCTCTTGTTCTCTTCATTTGCGAGGACAAAAGAGCTTTGTGGACTAGCACAAGGATATATACCAAAGTTCTGCATGGATTGTATACATATAATAGATCATAATCATAGGCCTTTATATTCATTTATTACTCGTCCGTCTTTCGTTTCTCATGTTCTCAAGGTGCACGTATAATGCATTTCATTTCCATCTTTGGCATCATCTCTATAAAGTTCAGTCCTCTCCTAGGCTCATGACACTGGTGTCTGGTACGGCTTGGTTCTTATCTTTCTTGACATTCTTTTTACTACCATTCACATTGATCTCGTTCTATGTTCACTCTCTTGAACTTCTTGAAATTTCAATTAAATCTTACAAGAATTTACTCCAGGCCTGTCACCAAACCAACTTCAGTCCAAAAAACCATCCAAAGATATTCTTGAAAGACATTCTGATGAATTGATTAAAGTAGACATTTGCAGAATAGCTGTACCTAAAGGCCATTTCAAAATTTGAATTCCATCCCAATCAGTCTTGGACAGCCCATTTTGTTATCTTTGGGGGGGACAAGATCCCTGAATGGTTTAACAAAAAATCACACATTAAATAAGGACAATTAAGAAAATTCTGGTGAGAATTTGTATTCTGCAAAATTTGAAGTGTTGGTTTGGTGAAGTATGGTTCAGTTTTGCAATTTGAATTGACAGAATTCTGATCAGAATGTGCTTCACTGAATGCGCCCTAAAACAAACTTAACAAAGTGAATAATAATGGAAGCATGGGAATGGATGGTAAAACAGACATGTAAAGAAAAACTCAAAGACCAATCTTAGGGAAAAGGTAAAAAAACTAGGAATTCAAAGACATGAATTGTGATAAAGAGCTAATGAAGTCTATGAAAAAAAATGCCACAATTAAACATAGTAAAACTTGACCCACAGGTTAATAAAATTTACATCTCCCCAGTTCAACTTGCAAGGTATCAGTCAATTTTACTGTTTGACAGTTCAATTTTCAACTCATAATTGCTCCTGCAAGTGAAGCTGTTTGTAAAACTATCAGATCCTGGTCATACCTAGCTACTGTCTGTTTGCACAATTGAGCTCCACAAAGAATTACTTCAACAAGATAGAGTGCACTTTGTTTTATAGACATGGCCTAAGCAGGGCTTGCCTTTTAGGTCACATCTGCTACTCCTAACAAGGAAACTCCCACCAGATCTATCAATGAGCGCGGCTTTCGAGTTATCCATAATTTCCAGTTTGAAAACATGACAGACTAGGTACGAAGCAACAGGCACAATGTCATGAAAGAGATATCATTCCATAACCATTTCAAATCTCATAAGAACAATTTTTTTGATCACCTTGATTTAGTATGAAGAGATCATACACACACACACTCAAGCACACATGTTAACTATTTTTTTACAGCACAAAAAATCAATCAACCATCCAACCGCTCCTCCAATCCCGACTACATTTTCCCATCACATTTTTTTTCTATGACAAACTAGAGGAAGAAAGAAAAAAGAAACACTCTCGAAATGAATGAAATGCTTCGATCTTTTTTTGACAAATCATCAACATAAAAAAAGACGTTTACAATTGATCATCTCGCATCGAAATCAATTTAACCTAGTAATCAACATCTTAATAGCAGGCATATAAGTCGTAAGTTCTTCTGATTTTACTCCTGAAGTCAAAAGTGAAATATGTAATTGTAAAGCGTGTTGAAGATTTCGAGATTCGATAGCTGTGATGGTAAGGACAAGGTTTCCAGAAGAAAAAGAAAATCAGACCAAACGCTCTTTTGCATAGATACTAAAGTTGATTCGATTCTTACCTTTAACGATATCTAATAACTCATCCACAACCGCTTGTGGTACAGTTTCACAATTAAGTCCATCAAATAATACATTTAACCTGCGTTCTGTATCATCTACCATTTTCTTTTGGTTAGGCTTTATGACGTTTTGTAAAAAGTATGAGAAAGGATATGACAATCGCATCAGAGATTATTCAGCTAAGATTGCAGAAAACAGATAGCTCACCGGTAAGCTTTGTCTCATCTGTCCAATCAGTCTATTTAAAGCTACATAGATTGGCTTGCTATGTTCAGGTATGTGGGTTCGGTCACCCGCAGCTAACATTCAGTCGAAGAGTCGTCAACATCTTGATCTTTCAGGAAGAAACAGAGGATTAGACATACGGTATTTAGATTTCGGTGGCTCAGGCTTTGGTGGAGCAGCACTTGCAGGTGGTGGATTAGCCCTTTGTTGTTGACCAGGAGGCGGTACAAATCCACCAGGTCTGGGAGCATTCATGATCCCATTGTTCGGTCCAGGTGCGCCATAGGCCATTGGTGGTTGACCAGGAGGGCCTGACATCGAGCCTCGGCCTTGTTGTTGAGGATACCCGGTAGGTGGAGCATACGGTCCTTGTTGTTGAGCTGTATTCGGCATGTAACCACCTTGAGCAGCTGTTGGCGAGTATGACTGCGGACCAGGCTGGATTCCGGCTGGAACTTGAACTCTTGGAGGTACATACGAACCAGGAGTTTGATTAACAGAGGCAGGTGGATTACCAGGCCCTTGAGGTCCCATAGATTGAGGATATCCTTGAGGAGCTGGGGGGCCGGTTTGTTGACCATAGGGACCAACGGATCCTGGACGTTGACCGTACGGGCCTGGCTGACCATATTGTTGTGGTGTTTGTGGGACACCAGCAGGATAACCGGCTCTGGGAGGTGGTGGAACGTTTGTAGCATGCCCTGGTGTGCGAGTCCCTGCACGTGGAGGTAGGTTAGAGACACCGGGCGATCCTTGCGGTGGTTGATTGTAGCCTTGCATCTGGTTATTGTATTGGTTGGGACCGGGAGACATGGTCCGAGAGGCATTCGGGAACGGAGAGGAGATCACTTGTTTCGCAGCGGGGGGCGGAATTGCAGCCTTTCTCGCTTGGTTAACAACTGGGGCATCGTTCCATCCTCCTGCTTCACCAATTCGTTGACGAGAAGCAGGCGGAGGAGGTGCGGTGCTCGACGCTCGACTAGGAATGGGAGATGTGCCCATTGGAGCTGGGGGTGCCGGAAAAAACGAACTACCTTGCGTCGGTGCTGTCGGCGCATAGGTATTAGTCGTGTTTGGTTGACCGTAAGGGGCGTATACATTCGGATTCGCGTATCCGCCACCCATATTCGTTCCTGTGTTGAAAGCAGGTTGCTGATTGTAAGCCGCATTGGGATAATTGTTCTGAGCGATGGGACGGTCGTAGGAACCGTAGGCTGATTGAGCGTTGGTAGGTACCTCACTAAATGGTTTGTCTAGTGGTACAGTAGCTGCAGTGTTGGTTGGGGTCTTCTGTTCGGGCTGTAAGATTGGGTTTGCAATAATTGAAGTCAAACCAATCGATTTGGCGAGGCGCTCGCGGGCCTGAGATGGAGCAGAGTTGTTGGTTCCTTTGTAATCTAATGGAGTTTGTGCAACAAATCTCAATGCTGTGTTTACCAAGCCCTGTGAGGCTAACAACTCAGCGTATTCGCAGTAGCGATCGTACAATGCTGCCAATTTGTAAGTTCGAGCTCCAGAGTTTGCCACCTCAGCAGATTCGGTTGGTTGAGCCAAGTCGATATCGATGTAATTGATGGCGCTCTGGAATACAGTGACCTTTTCAATGAAGGTTTGAAGAACTTCCACATGAATACTTGATTTAGACTTTTGATCATCTGCGCCTAGATTCTTTACTTGAGCTTCTTCTTCCTCTTCCATCTGTTCGATCCATATCTCAACAATCTTTTCTAATTTTCCTGCAGCCAAGTAACACAGAATAGCGTTTTTGCGATATTCCTCGACGGTGTTTGAAACAGAACTAGAATTGTTGTCGGATGAAGATGCAAATTGATAAGCGAGCCTTTGTCCTAATTGTTCAACTAAGCTAGAAAACTCTTCCTTCTTCGCAAACGTGCACAAGACCACAAAGATTTCTTGCCACTCAGCCAGGTCAGCATTCTGAACCACATCGATCAAATCGTCCATCACAATTGACTGGTATAGTCGTAAGTATGGTAAATTGGGTGTCTGTTTTTCAAAATACGCCTTTTGAGCTTTTTGGAGCAATTCGGGACCACCTCGAACAGCCAGTAAAATCGCATCGGCATATCGTTCCGTCGACAAACATAATGACACAGCACTTTCAAAGTCGCCCACAACTAGCGCTCGGGTGATAAGACGTTCACCTTTTGATTCCTCGTTGGGGTAGATTTGGAAAGTGTTGGCGCGGATGTTCTCGGAGATGACTGAGGAAGCACGCGACCCAATCGTAGCACCCACGGAGGATGCACCACCAACTCTTGTGAGAATATGGTCAGGCAGTGCGGCAGGTCGTCCAGATCGCATTGAGCTGTAGAAGTCGACCGAGGCAGCAGTTTGACCCGCTGCATTTGCGTTATCATCACCAAATAGGCTAGGCTCGGTAATTTCGGATTCTGCTTCGGCAACCTTCGTTAAATCTGAGATGGCGCTTACGCTAGCTTCAGAAGGAGCAGCATCTGCTCCACTGGTGGTGGTCTCATCACCTTCATAAGGCGCAGATAATCCTTCTGTAGGTGTGTCTGCGAACGTCACCAGAGGCTCGCGGGGGATCGAGCCAGCGTCGGAACCGAAATTATCCGTGATAGGTGCAGGATGGCCTATCTCACTAGCCGAGCGGGAAATCGCATCGGGACGTTTTGACGACTTGTAGACTTCGATCTGACGCTCGACTAAATCCTTGATTTGCTTTTTTGAGAAGCCAAGAAGGCTGACAAGTTCTTCCTTCGAATTGGTCTTGAACAAGGTCGAGAGTAATTTCCAGCTTTGTACTTCTGTCGCAGACGCAGTAGATGGGAGCTGATTGGTTCGTTCTTGACACAGGTTTTGTAAGTTTCGTTCTTGACTAGCGTTCTCCAACTTGAGAGCGCGTTCGACAAGAATGGGCTCGGTGACAACCTGTTTGATCTTGACCGATGACACGACTGTGGACGGTTGCGCCGGGTCGACCATGGCACCTTGTACTGGGGCTGGTGCCACCACTTCGTTGGACAGCGTGACAAGTTTACCTCCGAATGCAAACGTCGCAGAGACAGGCCGTTTGTGCCATTTGGGCGCTCGCTTCAAGCTCACAGCAGCTTTTGCGCTGTTTAAGGCCAAGATACCCTGGTCTCCAAAGATATCACTACCATCTGCCGGGGGTACATTAAGCTGCGGCTGTGAGATATCGGATTCGTCGCCGGTCGATTGGAGAGAGTGGATCGCTATGCGGCCGTCAAAGGAAGCGGTTGCTACTAGATCAGGGTTTTTGGGGCACCACTCTGTCTGGAAGGACCAGTTGCTGCTGGGTGCAAGCTTCAAAGCGGATAACTATGAGTGAACTCATTCTTCATGGCATGGACGGACTATTGAAAAGAATTAAACGTACCTCTGCCACAAGATCTCCGCTCGTTGGATTCCAACATATCGTCCTGCAATCCTTTCCACAACTCACTAGCAAGTCGGAGTCTTGCTTGCACCAAGCAAGGCTCAAAATCCCCTTTTCGTGACCTGCCAGTACACGTTCGGGTGCACGTGCATTCCTGAGGTCCCAAACAAGCACAATTGGCGTGCCATCATCCTCAGAGGCGGTGGCTAATTTTGTGGGCTAACAAATATGTCACAAAGTAGTGAGCTTTTTACTTATCAAGTATGAGCGTAGTGATCGGATTGATTCTTCGGTGACACTCACGTTTTCAGGATGCCAAACAACGGAGCTGACGCTACCCGGTCTTCCACCCTGGGGGCCCATCCATTGAGCTCCGTATTGAGGTCCGCCCATCATCCCGGGTTGATTTTGAGCGAAGGCGGGCATTTGGTTTACTGAACCACTATAGCTAAGAGTAGCGACTTCTCGTCCTTTCTGTCCATTGGCCTCTCGAATATCCCAAACTACGGTATAACCGTTGTTGGATGATGCTGCAAGTACAGATTGTACTACGTGATTCCAGCTCACCGAAGTCACATCGTCCAAGGAGCGGGAAGGGGGAGGAGCAAATGGTTTCACCGGGTTATTGAGATCCCATATGAAAACCTGGGTATCAAAATAAGGTGGTAGTGGAGTGAATCAGTAAGTCTGAGAGGGTGTAACCGTATGGTAGAGAACGTCATTAACCTCTCCTTTAGTAGCACCTGAGGCCAAGATGTTATTTTTGATCGGATTGAAATCGAGACCTTTGACGGGACCAGTATGATTGGTCATCTTGTTCACCAAGGATGCTTCAGGGCTGAAACAATACCGATCATCGAAAAGAAGATCAGTCTTGACAACATTGTAAGGTAATCAGATTGACATGTTCTTTACCCTTCACCATCCAAGATTTTCAGAGGGTCCCAGATATCCAAGTCCGCATTCTCCATTCCAGCAGCAATGACACCCTTTGGTTTCAAGCCAGCTGCATTGCTCCAAGCCAATCGATTGAACCTGTTTTGTATGGAAAATGATCGAGATTATACTTAGTCAGCAATCGTCCAAAGTAGTACCACCTTATTACAATTTCTGAGATCAGTAAAAAGTGATTTGTCATACCGTGAGCTGACTACCACTTCGCCTAGCGAAATGGCAGACTGTGATGAGAAAGGAGACCAGATTTCGAGTTTAGAGTCGGAACTGAAGGTCGAATCGAGTGCACCACTAGCAGTACCGGTGACCAAGAGAGGTACGTTGAATTCGACCCCATTCTTGCCATCTTGATTGTTATTGGTAGAACTGATAGTAGGAGATGATGAAGAGGAAGGGGAGTTTGAGACGGGAGATGAAACAAAAGAAGCAGGAGACCAAGCAAAGGTAGCGGTACGAGGTAAAGAAGTATAACGCATGATTTGATTTGATGTTGATAAGTTGATTTGATGTTGATTTAGTTAAAAATGATAAATTGATGATGATTGATGGTCATGAAGCTGAGTTGAGTAGTAAAGTGATGATGACGCTGTTTACCTACTCTGAGTCTCGATCAAGTTCAATCGAAGCGTGGAACTGGCTGGCCGCTGATCAGAATTCAACTACAATTCACACTACAGTCATATTTACATACAAACACATTACACATCACGCAAATTATCTCTCTATCCTCACGCGGATGTCCTATTATAAACATCACCAGGGTGAGGGCTCTTTCATGATGGGCATCTCTCAATAAACTCAACAAAGTTGAAAATAATTGTGCTTTCAGAGCTGATTTGGTTTGCTTTTGTGAAGTTGGATTGCTTATGTACAGTCAAACCGGAAAAGCTTGACCAATTTTGCCCGCAAAACTCGAGCAAATTGGCGGGGAATTGGTGGCAAGCTTTTCCGGTTTGACTGTATGTCATATCAGACTTTATCACAGACCAGAAAGATAATATTCCTTCACGAAACCAAAGAGGTATCATATTCAGCATTCATAAGTAGAGAATGAGATCCGCACTGTGGGATTCATATCACCACAATCTTGTTCGCAGGAAGGAGAAGTACATTCAAGATCCATAGAGTACTTCCAGGAGTGTATTATGGGCCGGCTACTTTGTTTGTGGCACTCACCACCACATGTATGAAGTTGGACACCATCAACACTGCAAAAATGTCTTTCCTTATAGTTTTTTCCAAGTTGCATCTAGTGGTGTCTAGGCTTGCAAGACCATTCCAATAAAACCAGTAAAGTATGCTTACATACCAGGGATCTAAATGTGTTGGGACTGATTGCACTAGATGTGAGTCAATTGAGGTATCAGGAGATACAAAAGATCCTAAAATGATGCAGAATGATGTTCACATCAGTTGAATGATTCATTGATCAACAATCATCAAATATTCTGAAATGACCAGATTCTACACCTCTGATCTTTTCTTTTCCTCTCAGAAAGTTTGATCTTCTGTGCTAATTGTGTTATGAGCACTTGTCTGTGTATGATCAATCGTGACAATGGCAAAAGAGAAAGCCATCAATGAATGAACTACACCAGTGCTCACAAATGCAAAGAGTAAGAACATTAGTACAATGTACTCTCCATCATTAATACATCATTCAACAAAATAATGCAATACCAACTTGCAGCTTCCCTCTCAGACAATCAGTAAATCATTCCATAGACAAAGCATTCATTTGAATGTCCGATCTGTTGAATAAAAAAACAGATATAAAAAACCGAAGTTCCTCTAATATATTATAGTATCCATTCTCTAAACAACCAAAAATGAAAAAACTCCTCCCCCATAATTTATACACACATAACAAACACACGCAAAACAAACAAAACAGAGAAAAGAAAAAGAAGATTATTGAGACATATCATAAACAACCGATGAAGATTTGCGAGATGAACAGAGACAATAGTGTGAATCTGATTGACTAAATTCACTTTTGAAATTTTGTACATTTTTTTTTCGATGAGAAGTAATCCGGTCCGCGATCCATCTCACGAGACTTTGAAGAACATAGGAAAGATGATCAAACTACATCGACACAGAAACAAGAAGCTCAAGAAAGAAAGAGAGAAGTGATCTAAATGGGATGATCGAAAGATATCAGTTAAATACTTTATGATCTGATTCGAAAACTTTTCATTTAGAAACTCACCTTTTATTAGAATTTAAATCACAAACAAGTCACCATCACAATGACCACACCATACCATATCATCCCCAAGATTTGCTCTTGTAATAGGTCGGTTCATATCCATGGATAGATGATGAGGATGGGGCTTTGGGTCAGAACTAGCACTGATCGTACTCCGAGAGGAACTTCCAGGAAAGTCGTTGAAGCCAAGTTCTTCCTCCATACGAGTTTTAAGTAAATTCAAACTTTGTTTCCTCTGATGTCGAGTTTTAACCGAAAGAGACCTTTCATCGATCGTATCAGCAAAACTAGATGAAGCTGATAATCCACTTGGTCCGGCTGACTGACTGGCGCTGGCAGATGGGGAAGTCGGAGTAATTGAAACACTAGGAGGTACACGTTGATCAGGACGCCCTAATTCATCGGTGAGTCTTAGAGGAAGGGATGATGCTTTGGATTTGAGAGCTTCTTCGGCGCCTCTCAATTGGTCTTGAAGATCGCCAATGCGTGTCAGCATTTCATGAGACTTAGACTCTTCTTCGAACACCTTAGTCTCTAAATTCCGGATTTGACTGCGTGCATTGGAAAGGTCCATTGAATGTTGTTGTAAGATCGAATCAAGGTAATCTTGGTCTACGTGTCCTGATTGATTGACCAATTCGCCCTGTGTTCGAGTAAGTTCAGCTCTGACAGATGTGACTTGATCTTCCAGCTCTTGGATAGTATTGATATATTTGGCCGATTGGGTTTGGACTTCCGCATGTGTGCGAGCATGAATTCGAGCCTGTTCTTCAAGCTGTGAACTTACATTGAGGAGTTCTTCGTCCTTGATCTGCAGTTCTGTTTGAATGCGATGAAGTTCCTGCTTTTTCTCTTCATTGGTTGATTGCATTTGACGTTCGTTGGTTGTTGTCAAGGTTGCGATCCGTTCTTTGAGAGAGTCGATTTCAGCTTTGGTTTGAGTTTCGGAAGTCTGGAAGGTTTGGGATTGTTCTTCAGATCGCTGCGCAGAGATTTCTAGTTCCTTTTGATGATCTTTCAGTGCACCATTGACCGCCTGTAGCTCGGTTGTCAGGCGACTGATTTCTTCAGTTTTTGTCTTCGTGTCTTGTTCGGCAGCTTGATTTGATTGAAGCAAGTTGGTCTTCGTTGATTCTAGTTCTTGTTGACTTTGTTTCAGTCGAGATGAAAGTTTATCGATGAGAGTAGTTTGATCTTCAAGCTTCCTTTCCAACTTCCCCTTATCGGCTTCAGAGGTTTGCAGAAGCTGCTCTTTGGTCTTTTGAATTTTATTCTTTTCATCTTTCATACCATTCAACGCCTTCACCGTTTTTGCCTTCTCATCAGTCATCTTCTTTAACGCATCCTTCGAGTCGGCTTGGGCCTTTTTCATTGCTTTCAATTCATCATTCAACCGATGAATTTCACTCTCTTTCACTTGATCATTCTGCTCGAATTCTAGTTTAGTTTGACTCAAATCACGTTTGGCTGACTCTTCTTCATCCTTCAAGTTTTGCAACTTTTGTTTCAAATCTAAAATCTCTGTTCTTGATAACTCTAATACTCGATTCTCACCTGCCTTGCCAGCCTCCATTTCTTTGATCAAGACACTCTTTTCTTGCTCTAGCTTCGCGATCTCTTCCTGAAATTCTTTTACATTTGCTTGGACCTGGCTCAGTTGATCGTCCTTCAAGTCCATTTGTTTCTGTTTCGAACTAACTTCGTTTTGTAGAGCAGCTAGACTTTGATTTGTTTTCTCTCGGAAGTTCTGGAGGTCTGAGGCGGCCTGTTCTTTGGAAAGCGTCAAATCTTTGAGGGTCTCATTTGCCGTGGAAAGTTCAGACTCAAGTTCTGTGACATGGTTCTTGGTGGCGCTTAGATCTTGTGTAATTGAAGACGACTTTTGCTTTTCTTCACTGAGACCGGAACGCGAATCTGCCAGCTCAGCTGACAATTGACTGGCTTCTGATCGGAGTTTTTCAACCAAGAGATCAGTTGATTCCAAGCGAGCCTGTAGACTCTCAGTCAAGGTTTTCAACTCATGATTAGATGCTTCTTGGGTAGCTATTGATCCTTTCAATGACTTGATCTCTTCGTTGGATTTAGCTTGAACAGTCTGAAGCTCGGAATTCAACATCTGGATGGCGTCCTCTTTGGCTCGGATAGTTTCCGTTGTTCGAGCCGACTCTTTGTTTGCAAGATCTTCTTTTTCAACCAGTTGGGCGCGTAATTGCGCGACTTGCTCGTCCAGAGTTTGGCAGCGTTCTTCGGATTGAGACAAAGAAGCCTTTACAGATGTACACTCTTCAGAAAGTTGTTGAAATCGAGTTGACCAGGTGTCAACTTCGTTTTTGGCGTCAGCGCGGGCTTGTCGTAACAGCTCGGCGTTTTCAGTAAGCTCTTGATCAAACTTAACCTTGGTCTCAGCTAAGTCGGCGGACAGCTTCTTGGATTGTTGTTGGGACTCTTGCAGAAGGGTATCTTTTTCGGCAATTTCAGCTCTCTGTGTTTCAGATGAGGCTGCCAAGTCACTTGCTTCGGATATCTTCAGTTCGAGGTTGCGCTGAATGTCTTCAATTCGATTGTTTGCTGCCGAAAGTTTTAACTCGAACTGGGCAGAATCATTCTTGGATTGCTCGAGGTCAGCGAGTGTTTTCTCGCGCTCAAGACGAAGTTGTTCAGTCTGTTGAATATGCTCATTCTTCCATGTCTCAAGGTCACGTAATTGCTGGTCAGTGTCCTTCAATTGGATTTCAAGGGTTTCATGTTGAGTTTGCAAAGTCGCCAAGCGTTCAACCGTATTGTCCTTCTCTCGTCGAAGGTGATCTTTCGCCTGATGCTCAGCGTTCAGCTCTGCTGAAAGCGTATCCAGCTTGCTCCGAAGGTTCTCTGAATCCTGTACAGTTTTCTCTAATTTTTGGGAAGCTTCGGTCGTATCCGATTCCAATTTAGCGCAGCTCGTCTGTGAGACGTTCAGTTCAGTCTCGAGACGGTCTTTCTCTTTTTCAGTGGCTGAGAGTTGTTCAACTAGCAAGTTAGAGCTTGATTCTTTGTCCTGAAGTTGTTTGGAGAGTGAATCGGTCGATTCACGGAGGCGTGCAATCTCATCCTCCTGTCGAGCGATCGATTGTTCCAAGGTTGACTTCTCACTTTCAATAGTCGAAAGTTGAGTCTCTAAAGCCTGCTTCACCTCGTCGGCAGCTCGGCTTTCAGCTTGCTTCGATTCGAGCTTCGAGCGTTCGTCTTTGAGTTCGTCTTTCGTGGTCTTCAACTCCTTTTCGCGCTCCCGAATCATCCTTTGAGCCTCTTCTAGTTTTTCGCCGCTCTCCAGTTTCTCGTTCGTCAGCTCAACTGTCTTGACTCTGAGCTCTTCGAGGCTTTGTAAAAGTGATTGATTGTCTTTTTGTAGTGAGTCTTTGCGTTCATTGAATTCAAGTGTCTTTTGATCAAAAGCTGCAATCTGTGATGATAAATCTTGGTTGCTTTTTTGAAGTGACAAGAGTTTAGATTCAAGAGATGAAGCGTGGGATTTTGAGGCATCGAGCATGGATTGAGAGCTTTGCAATTCATTTTGAAGAGAAGAATTAGTAGCTTGAAGTTGAGCATTGGAAGTTTGTAAGGCATCATGAGAAGTTTGGATAGTCTCTGCTTTGGAAGTCGACGCGGTGAGTTCGGATTGAAGTGCGTTGATGGTAGTGGTCAGTTTTTCGGCGTTCGCTTCTTTTTGCTTATTCTGTTCTTCAACAGATTTCATTTGATTCCGTAAACGGGATAGCTCGCTCTCCAGAGCATCGGAGTGGGTTTGCTTCATGCGCATTTTGGTCTCGTACTCTTTAGCAATCTCATCTTTGCCGTTCTCGTGAGCCTCGCGGAGCTCGGCTACCTCGGCACAACTTCGCTCGAGCTCGGACTGAAGATGGGTGACGGTCTGTTGGGCGTCTTTGAACTGTTCTTCGACGGATTCCAGGCGGGTAACGGAAGCAGTGGCTTGTTGGAAGTCTTTTTCTAAAGCCTCAGCTCTTTCGGTTGCCAGTTTCTCAGAATCGCCCATCTCTCCTCGTAGCTTCAGCATTTCCCTTTTCAAATCTTCGATTTCACTATTGAGCAGACTTTTCTCATTTACAAGCAGTGTGATTGTCTGCTGCTGGTCGTCGTTTGTACGGAGAGAAGCGGCTTCTGATGGAGAGGGCTTTGAGATGGCATTTGTCCCGTTTAGGTGGGTTTCTAGGCTGAAAAGATATCAACAATGAGTTCGTGAAACTACAAGGATTTTCTTTGAGAGAAGGGACTAACTGGTCCACTGTAGGAATGGGAATTGGAAGCTGATTATGCGGAGGCGCCTGCGCAGAAAGTGTGTCATTCACAGGTGAAACGGCATGCTCGGATTGTGGTGGTAATGTGTCATTCACGGGCGAGATGGCATGCTCGGGTTGTGCTGGTAACGTGTCTAGAACAGGTGAGGTGACATGCTCTGATTGAGCCGGTAATGGTGATGCGAGTGCTCCTTCTTCAGTGACAGGCACGTGGGTACCAGTGGCAGATTCGGCAGCGTTGGCACCGGCCTTCTTCTTCGCTTGAAACTTCTTCAACTATAGATGAACATTCCAAACCATGGATGAGACCAATATAAGAAACATCAGGTTGCGAAATCCGGCGACATACACGGTCCTTTGCTCGAGCTGCTTTTTCAGCACGATCAACATCGGTGTTGGCCATGAGAGGTATAGGTGAAGCTGATTTCCAAGACGAGAATGCAGTTCGATGTGCCTATTGACAGTTATTGTATTGCTAGATCTTTGAAGGGCGAATTTGCATGAGTGAAGTTGTTGAAGAAATGATAGTGGTGGATAGAATTGGTGGGAGTCGGGAGTTGTGAACAAAGTTGGCAACGTAACATTTGATATGTAACGACGACCATTGTCATTCTGTTCAATTCGACTACCGCGGTCCCGGGAACTATCCGGGCTCTCGCATGATGCACCCATCGGCCTCAAGGCTGTGCCAGCCATATCGGAGCAACAAATGTTGCGGAGACTCAGAGGTCGCAGCAGGAATTCAGACTGGTCCCACACAGTCAGAGACCAAAGGAAAAGATCAGAGCACTCAAGAAAGTGATAAAAGTGAGTTCAAGAATCAAGTCTTATTGCTTCTATTTGGAGCAAAGGACATGCGAGCACCAGAGGATTTGAGTCTCTTGTGAAGGTGATCTCAAGGGCATTGGAGTCGTGTTTTGATAACACACATGGCTTGTATTTTTCTGGAAACGAATTCCAAGTGGTCAGAGCCTCGCTCAAAATGGATAGCCATCATAGCAGCCTACACATTGAAAGAATTCTACTGTGGTCCGCCCAGTAAACCCAAGAGATGCACCTTATTCCTCAGGTATTATGAGAAGGAACATCAACATTTGTTGACTCCAAAAGGCTCCAAAATGATTTCCCACCTCACCATAATAACAACCTCTTCATACCAGATCACCAAAACTCGTGTTACTCTGAAGAACTGGTGGTTTCAACACTGGAGCCGGACGTTTCAAATTGAATGATATAACTACACATGTCTCCTGACTCCAACGCACCAAAAATCATGGATTTTTTATGCAGCTTTTTCTTCACACCAACATTATTCACTTCATAAATCAATTCAAAGATGTTTTCAGATACATTCAAGGTTTTCATGTTTGGTAGCTAGCAATAAACACACGAAATTCAGTCCTGAGCACACGGCCGAGCCAAAATGTGTGTAATCCAACCTCCTTGTTACTCATTATTTAATTCAGTACTACTGGATTGAGGGTTTTACTTGAGATATATTTCAGATCACATTGTCATAAAATCGTAGCTAGAAAAACTCCAAGCCAATATCTTGTAATTTGATTGATTATATAAAAATTAATGTGAAAGTGGATCTCAATACTCAACAGAAAACTGATCAAGACCCATTATACAGTTGAGTAATTAAGAATCCTAGTGCCCAGCTTAAGCTAAGACCATCATCCAATGGAATCTCTTGTCCAGATGTAACCCTTTTTAGGAAGGTTTCTAAGACAAATTTAGGATTAACTAGACCATACTGAAGAAATAACAATGTACGATAACCTATTCATCATTTTCAATCCACAAGATTAAATGTTGGTGGATGGAACAGAGTTAGATTGATGCATCACTCAATCAGAGCATGTCAGAAACATACCGTTTGCAAAGCTTTGAGCGATCTCACTCATCGGAGTTCCACCACCACCAGTACTCCTCCATTCTTCTTCAATGAAGTCTTTGCTTCTGAAAAATGGTGTCGCGAGTGTAATGGGGATTACCTATTTGAAAGGAGACGTATTACATCATATCAAATTAGGTTCATCATGATCTTGAGCATTTCACTCTTCCACTGATGAGTTTCCAGTGCCCTTCAGCTGAGATGATAACTTACCTGAATCATATGTATCGCATCTCTCGAATCCTACAAGACGACATCAACAAAGTAAGTTACTGCGTTTTAACGACGCGAAACTTGTCTCAGTGCGAGGTTCAAACTTACTGAGAAGAAGGTTGTATAGTCAGCTTTGTTCTCAAAGAGAATGCCAGGTACTTTATTTGCTTTGAATGACGTTGGAATAAGTGAGTTGTCATCTTTCATCAAGTAATAATTATTGATACTACGCCGCAATATCATCAATTGTAGCTCCACAAGGTCCTGAAGAGTATCATTATGAGTGGCCTCTGCCCAAGCCTTCAAACTGTAAAGAAAACTATCCAGCGTAACGGCGTGAGTTCTAAAATGTGAAAGCCGTGATGATCAGGCACACGATATGTTATCCAATGTATACTCACTTGATATCTTCACTACAGCTTTCTTGATTCTTGCCATCGAAGGAAGGTGTAAGCCCAGTGGCCAGACTGTGTCCCAAGAACCAATCAAAGCAACGAAACAGTGGGAAAAAGCGATCGTGCGCGGTTGGGTTATTGATATCTCGAATGAGGTTATTGATGTAGAGACCAACTTCAGGAAATAAAGTAGGATCAAGATGAACAAGGATGGCAGCCGCATGAATTAAGTATGAGAAATGGAAGTGATGATCTAACAAAGAATTTCAAGTATATATGTCAGCTATCTCTTGTTGGATATCCAAAGAATTGAACGAGGGCGAAAGGAGAGATTTGTGAGATAATACCATTGTAGACTCCATTTCCAAAGTCATCGTACTCATTTCCTGTCTTGAATATACTGGAGCTGATTAGTCCTTTCCAGGTCTGGTCATACACGAGTCTGCTGGCCCGATGTGGTCCGCGAACGAACCGAAGGAAGCTTCGCTTGGCTTTCTCAAGACAAATGGATGTCAGATCATCATCTTTTAGTATCCGTGCAGCAGTGAGACACTGCAGAGCCTGTTTGGCAAACTTCTTTCCTGCAAAATCTGAGAATACGATTTTATGTTGTTCCGGAGACAATTCATCAGCAGGAGAAGATTATTCTCACAGGGCTTGACTGAGAAGTTGGAATTACAATAACTGTCTAAATTTGCTTCAGCCTCAAAATCCACGTCCAATTCCTTTATGAAGATGTCGGTGAGTGTTGTTTTGCAACTCTGTGCCAAAGGACTGGAAGAATCATTTTCATAGATGGGTGTAATACCAAGGTTTTTCGCAAGTCGGAGATTCTCTCGGAATGTCCACTGAGAAGATTGATAGAGTCGCATATGGCCATTTACACGTGATGCAATCGAAATCGGAGGTTTTGTCTCGACGGGTCTCAACATCGCCTCGGAATGATGTGGCAACGCGAAAATCAAAGGTGCTTGAGCATGCGCTCGAGGACCTTGAGAAACTGGGAACACATGAAACCCATTTTTATAAATAATTTCTTTGACTTCAGATCGATAAAGCTCACGTACACCAGTCGAATGAGTATGATCCGGATCCTCTTGGTCCGGAGCTTATGCTTGCCTTATGGACCCAAACGCCTACTCCACGATCATAAACAGACTCTTCTTGGAGACACTGATCTGATGATGAAGATGGACTACTGTAAGATTCGCTCATCTTTACCACTTGAATAATCCCTGACCATATACCCATTGAATGAGCCATTTCTGTCTGATTAACTTGTTGTAGATTCAGATGTGGAAAACCATTGACCGGTTGGGCGTACAAGAGCCAAGTGGACTGGTCATTGTATTGTATACGATATTTGATGAAACCATGGATGTTGGTTTGATCTTGGGTAAGACGAACGATGGCAAGGGTGGATCTAATGATTGGTGTCAAACCAGTGTAGATCATCGTCATGAATGCCGCCCCACGGCAGATGGGAATGCTGATCATGGAATTGTTGGCACAAGAGATAGTAAAGTGTGCCACCAGCTCAGACCAATCGGTCAAAGTTGGTGTCAGGTTTCGAGTATCGAGTTCTCTGGCACCAAAGCACATTGTGATAACCAGTGGATTGAGATAATACTTGACTGGCTGACTTGCACCTGTTGACACTGGTGGACCGAAAACTATATCCTTAGTAGCTGAATGTGAGATTCCAAAGCCCACATAGGGGATCGCATTTTGAGTTGAGAGAAGTGATTGGCCATCCAAGAGAGCCAATGCGTATGGAAGAGGATATATAGGATCAGTTCCCCTTGGGGGTAATATGAGCTGAGTATACCACTTGTTGGTACCAGGCGGGTTGTTTGTCGAAACCCCAGATGGAAGGTTGATAGGCTGTTTGGGATGAAGCCGGCCTCCACCAAATATGTTAGGATTGGGTGGCGAGTTTACTAACTCAGAATCCACTGGGACGAAGAGTGGACCTTGAAATTCATTGGATGGGTGGGGTGACCACATCGTGATATTGCTAAAGAACGTTGGGCGATGATGAGATTGCCTTCCTCAAAAGAACGCACAAGTTATAATTGCCGAGTGGAGTGAACTTCCTTGTCAAATCTCCAAGACAGGAAGAATGAGATAGGTAAGATAGTTTTGTCCAAACTGCTGTTATAAATTATCTAAAATTTCATCCAAGTATAAAAACTCTTCCGTCCACAGCAATCGAAGGCAATAGACAGCATACATTACGCAAATCAAACGGTCACAATGATTACTCTCAACGCTCGGCTCCCTACCCCACCTCCACCTCCAGAAGGAATTCAAGTGATCGAAGCAGTGCGTAACAGCTGTGAGGAGGTTCGCCGCAGGTACAATGTTCAAGTTCGCCTTCCCAATAGCATGGCTTTTGACTTGAGGTAAATACTTACAATGGGTATTAGTTGAACGAAGCAGACTGCGATCAATTCCTTCGATCAATCGATCCTGTCAATTATCAACGACTCTGTAATGATCGAGCCAACGGTCGCCGATTTCCTCTTCAATTCTCAAGTCCACTCGATGAGCTCAATGTCGTTTGTATGCTAGGCCTTTTGAATTGCTTGCACGCTCATCGGGACTTCTTAAGAGAAAAGACTGGCCGTGGCGCATGGGAGGTTGCGTCTATCTTTGATATTCACTTTGTTGGGGATTTTAAAGTCAAGCCGGTCAGAACTGATGCTCATTCTCGGGTGGTGATCATCTTGACGGAGTAGACAGTGAGATATCTGGTGCTAGGAGCTTATCTCGGTTCTTCATCTATACTCACGACAGCTGGAATGTTACAAGCCACAACCTCATCACTTGCAAGCTTAATCTCCCTACCACTTCACGTTGAACGTCCCATGGAGCCTGGATCGCCTATTACAGTTGGTGAACCAGACAAACATGCAGTGGAGCTGGTCGAACAACTAGTACAACTTCTTCATTCGACGGCTCAAGTTCTTCAGCGAGAATCTTGCCCCGATCTTGGAAGCTTTGTGGCAAGTCATGGTCTGAGTGGTGGGGATGGCGATAAGCTTTTACGCTTGCTATTGAAGGCTTTTGAAGGCTTCAGGGACATGTATATTCTCGATGGCCAACGTCAGTCTTCTCTATTTAACATTGATCAGCAGATTGGCTTGTCTGCTCAGATTCATGAATGATTGCCCCCCAGCGGTGTACATCTTGAAGAAAGCATTGTTTTTGGTCGAGTCCATCTCGGCTACCTTTCGTGATCAAACTGGCTCGAAAACCATTCCGATACCAAAGATATCATCTCCCTTACCGATCCTGGCAGACAACGTAGTACCTAGTCAGTAATCTTACACTCTCTGGGTGACATGAATCAAAGGCGATTGTCTGATGTGACCTTTTTGATTTCAGCGATGTTGTTACATTTCAAGCTTTTGAATCTAAAGGATAGCCCCGATCCCGAGATTTCAGCAATTGACTTGGAGTCACCTTCTAGTCTAAAACTTTCTCCGAGAGCCGCAACAATTCTGCGGGCCTCAAGCGTGGCATGCTGTCAACAATTGATTCAACGTGCTCGGGCGATGGCTGTTGATCACGAATGGCTTGGTAGTATGACTGAGGATAGTCTGGATAGTTACTTATGGGCAATTGCTAAAGATGATGCTCAATTGCGTAAACTTGAACGAGTGACAGAGTTAGGAACAGTCATGTATTGACTTGGTAATGCAAATGTATCTCAGTCAACCTCAGTCATTCAAACATTAGATACCCCAACAAAAGCTATATCCACATACTCACCTTCCTATTAGACTGGATTCAATTGAACCAATCCAAGGTAGGTTAGGTCCATCTATATCTCTCTTAGTTCAGATCTTATTGCATCATTGGCTCTATGCCTGCACAGTGTTTATTATGCTTCTGAAAACTCCATCAAGGGTTGTTTTTCTTAATTGTGATTGTTAGTCCGCTAAGGACCTACCATTATCCACACTATATATAAGATAAACATTAAAAGGATTGGCTCGAGTTGAAATTGAAGGCGAATACAAACAGCATGAAAGCTGGGTAAAAGTGTCAATCAAAGCTATGAACATAGGCTGTGATATTGACTGAGTTAATCTAAAAGGATTTGTACAATTAAGGTTGAAATTTGACGACAGTCCGATAATTTTGCACTGATGCAAACACCCTTCCTCATGAATTATACACATTATGTTTTTGTCCCATCGAGTTTCTAGCTGGTTTCGAGTCGCAAGGCCACCTGGTGCATTGGTCGAAAGATTTTCGTGGCCATGTGGGGTTGCTTCATCATTTTGGCGCAGTTTGGGAGGTTAATCCAGTTTTCCCTCCGACTGCTGCTGCCACTAGACTGTCGCTTGCTGTGAAGCATCAGAAGCACACGGTGAGCAAATTCGAGTTCAAACTCCCTAACATTCTTGTTTCAGAGTTGAGACTTACCGGAAAAAAGGGTGGTAAATGCCTCACCCAGTGCCTCAAAGTTTTTCTTGATGACGCTGTGAAAAATGGGATCAAGGTGTATGATTATTATATGCAAACATAGACATAGTATTGTCAGATTTATGGTTGCTTGCAAAATCAACTAAACCAAGTTCATGATATTCCATTGACTCACTTCGCATCATCCGGGGTTTTTTTAATCAGATTGAGAAGTGAGCTAGATGAAGAATGATGATCAGCTTGAAATATATTTGATTCTGTGAATGTGAATTGCTATGACTGCTTCTCACGTTAGCTTTTCGCTACCCTCAGTGGCCTGGGTGACGAATTGTTGAACTTCGGGGGTGGGGTTCACAATGGCCGCCACGATGGCCTTTCGTACTTTCTCTCCTTCAGGAAACGCTTTCAAAACCACTTCAATATGGTTGGTGACCTCAGAAGAATCGGTACCCATGTTAGTCACAATATCTAATTCTTGACCCAGTCCGATTAAGAACTCGAATAAGTCACGAGCCGCCGTTTCAGCAGGAGAAGCAGATGGACCAGTGGCTGTGGTTTTGGAGGCATTTTCAGGTGTAGGTTTGCTAGTATCTGAAGTTACTCCAAACGAGTTTTGGTTGGTTTGTCTGGCTTCAAGTCGATAAGAATGTTGCTCTAGTTGAATCTTTGATCTATTGATTTTAACCGAGTTTGAGAAGACAGGGAAGTCGAAGAGAAAAACCGCACTGCATAGTACGAGAAATGCTTTGGAGGATAACATCAGGAGAATGAAAGTATTGAGCTACAAGGTTGTGTGAGACGTATTTCTTTCGTCAGAAAGACAGCTGTACAAAGGCAAGATTTTTATAGGTGAAGACTGCAAAATAAAATGGCGTAATGACTATGGTGAACATCTATACGGGAAAGTGGAAGAATCTCAAGGGGGCATCATGATCTTAAGTACCAGGCAGCGTTTTTTTCCTTGGGGTCACGAGACTCGATGACTGAGCATTTTTTCCATAGGCACGTTCTCTAGGGGGGAAAGCCCTTACAACCAGTCCGCTGAGTCTGTTTCCGCGTGAAAACTCCGTAACGCAGTCCACTCCTGTGGACACCGGAGGCGTAGAGTGCTCAAGTGTGACCACGAGGGAGGGCTGACTATAGTTTCATAATATGAGGGGTTGTTGATCAGTTTGATCGATTGGGAACCGAGCCTCTGATGAAAAAAGGCCGCAAGATGTCTGGTGGTGGGGATGCGCGATTGTTATGGCCATCATCCAAAGACAAACCTGTCGCTTATGAGACCAAGCCCATGTTTGGTGGGTGGCCGAAGGGGACAACCGCAGCGTTTCATGATCAAGTCTCTGCATATCCCTCAGGAATCCGAAAAACCCCTCTGGATCACTTCCATGTAGCTCTGAAGTTGGTCATACGGACCACATATGTTTTATTGTGCATACCAACAAGTTCATCATTCAACTTTCTTGACGAATGTACTCCGCTTTCACATATATCTTCAAACGATAATCTACGTATTGCAGGGTCTTCGGCGGATGAATTAGCAGAAACAATCGACGGAGGTCGCACGTCGCACCCCATTTTATTTCTCACCTCAAGTAGGAAACGCGGCTCGTCTTTGACTTTCTCTGGGAGCCACGCAGATTGGAGAGAGAGGCATTCTTGATAAAAAAGGGAGGCAATCACACTAACCACGGCGCTTGATTGTGATTGATCAATCAGACCACTCATCAGCACCATCATCTCATCTGCACCCCTGTCCTTCCAGTTAGATTTGATCTTTTATTGTCCATCATCTCAGCCATATGACTTTACTATGAGTTTCAAAGCCAAAGTCTAGGCTTTGAACTAAATCTCTTTGCTCTGATCCAGACCTCTCAGCTTTGATCCAGACCTATCAGCTTTGATCCAGACCTCTCAGCTTTGATTCAAACCTCTTTGCTTTGCTTCAAACATTTTGACTTTGATTTGAGTGATGCAAGGTCTTCAAACCTCTTTTGTCCACCAACTGAATATATCCTTTAGATCAAAGCTGTAAGCTTAGCTTTGAATCCAACATTGAAGACATGGATGTTTACTGACTGACTTGATTGGTCCATTTTCATTCATCTTCTTCAGGTCTGGAACCTCATGATTATATCAATTGTCTCAATTGTCTCAATTTTCATTCTGCTCTTATTCTGTCTATTCCTCATACTGTTGTAATAGAATCTTTTGAACACAACCTATCCCATTGGTGCTTTAATCATGTTACAAATGCCTCAATACCATGTCTCAAAGCAAGCAGAACATGTGCCATATGATGGTTGATAAATGGCCAGAGGGCAAACAGTTTTGAGATTGAGTCACAAATGGAACACACTCTATACCAAAGTTTCTGAGCACACCAGCAACTACAAGGTGCATGAGCTCAGGTCAGGCTGCAAACAGGATATCAAACTGTGAAGGAAAGAGTTCATATACTAAATTAATGAAAAGACTTGAGCCTAAGGTCAAATCATTATGAAGACACATAGGATGATTATGTTATTGATAATGATCATTTGGATGTCATTTATATGTATACAAATCAGTTGAAGTACTTGTTTCTTTCTGGGGTACAAGCCCAACAAAACATAAAACTGCATAGTGCAAAGAAAAAATAAATACACCAAGATCCACAAATGTAGGCAGCTGAGTGTGGAGCTACTGGAGTTCTGTACAAACTGATCCAAGCCACAAGAAAAAGTAGCCTAAATGATTAATGTGATAAACAGCATATACTTGGGTATCAATAGGATGAATGCAAGATAGCTTCCACATGATCAATCCCTGCCACTGAATGGAATTTGGTGAATCAATTTATATCCAAAGTACTCTGGGCAATGTTTGAACATAACACTATGTAGATCACTTGAGTAGACAAGGACAAAGGTATTCAAAACACAGGAACTGTTCCAATAAGCAGATGTTTAACTAGTCAGTGAACAGGAGTCGAGTTATGAAACATACCATGATTTGATGACTGCGTATGGAGTCCAGTCAGCAAACTTGAAAGTATCCAATGAACAGAGCTAGAAAATAAACTGAATGGAGAGATGAGGCAACATTCAGAGATCAGATAATTGACTCCAATATGAGAAAGATATTCAAGAAGCTTACTTCAATCATTACCAAGATGTTGGCATCAAGACCAAAAGTGTTGGATCAAGACCAAGACATCTGAATGAAAGCCTAAAGGATGTTACCAAAGCTCTAGGGATAATGACAACACTGGGAGGAGTGATTGGATCAAACTGGAAGGACAGGAGTGAGGATGAGACAATGGTGCTAAGAATTGATTCAATTGATCAATTGCAATCAAGTGCTGCGTACGGTGTTGGTCTGACTCAGATAAGTGTAGAACTCATCTGGTTATGCTTATAAAATCACCTGTATCACTGTGAAAATAAAATAAAATAAAACCAAATGGACAAGCAAATCTGGATTGACTGTAATCAATCATCAATCATCATAAATAGCTCATTTGCACCACATAGATTTATTAGAATCAGGAGATCTTTAAGATGGGCTTTAGTAGTAAAGAATTGGATCACTTTGGAAAAAATTGTAATCTTTCAAAAGGTATTCAGCTCACTTTTCATCAAACAAAAAGCTGCACTTATCATATGAATATATTGAAAATATTCATAGTGGCCTATCTGAAGTTTTATTCAATTATTCATAAGATTGGAAGTGAATTAAAGAGATTATGATCAAGATGTGTATTGTGGTTTTTGGATGTTTTTGTCATGAATAATTGGTTTCTGAGGCTGCTGACCATTATTCAAAGTTTGTAATTGATCTTATATACTGCCAGGTGATGAAATTTTGTTGTTGTTCCTCTGTTTTCTTCACCATTTACAGCATTGTCATTTTCAATGTCATTTATGGGATACAAAGTTGAATCTGGGAGTTTTTTCCCAGTTTCCCAGTTTCCCAACCCAAAATACAGCCAAAAACAAAGACTGGGAAACTGGGAAAAACTCCCAGATTTGACTTTGTATCTCATAATTATAAACTTATCTTCATTGTACCTGGTCACTTGAATACACCCTTTATTACAATTATAAAGAGATATTCACTTTAGTAGTGAAGTTTTGTGACTTATAAAGTCTTCTGGGAATAATATCAAAAAAATATTGCACTATTTTCTTTTTGTTATCTGACTGGAATAACAATAAAAAGTTCTGAGAGATAATTAAAGAGGTGCTTTTCATGTTAAAACTTGTGCTTTTATGGTCCTTCAAAACCATCAAGATATATTTGATTTTGTTACTTATCAGTACTCAATCAAACAGATCTCTTTCTGATTGTCTTGTTTTAGGAGGCAGTCCATAGGCAACTTATACTAGCTATTTTATTATTAGATTATCCCCTCTCAGCTATGCATAACCCTTGTTTGGTTTAAAGTTCTACAATCTCACATCTGCAGAGGATGGGTATTCCTAGAATGATGGCTGGCGCTAAAAATCTATGTGTGTGCATGATAATAGCCTAGACTAAGAGCCTTACAATAGATCTAGGATGTAGATGGTATGAAACTTATAACCCAACAAGGGTTATACAAAATTTAAAGGAGATAATATACCAATAAATGACTAGTAGAAGATGTCTATGGACTGCACTCCTACCAACGATGGGCCGTTGCGGGCAACGCAGCGGTTGAATATTAATACTATAGTCCCACACGCCCGTTGCGCTGTGCGCAACGCAAACCGTTGCTCGGTTGCTTAGCGTTGTGTGTTGTGCGTGTGAGGGATCTAGCAAAGTTTGATGGAAATTGCTTGTAGAAGCAGGGAGGGTCCAGGGGTATCTGAGATATCCCTGCGCCCGTGACAGGGCCATGCCTGTTTGCCCGTTGCGGGGTTGTGTTGCTCACAACGGGTCGAGAACCGCAACACAACCACCTGTAATCACGGACCTGTACCAGCAACGCACCGAGCAACAGCCTGAATCGTTGCGTTCCGTTGCATTGCTGGTGTCTTGCCGTTGCTCGTCGTTGCTGTGCGTTGCTCAGTCAAAGCAACACACCGGCCCAACGTTTCTCCTACAACAAGACAATCAGAAAGGCGAAATCAGTTGGATTGAGTACTGATAAGGCACCAGAGAAAAGTATCTTTAAATGACCAAAAGCACACAGATTTTAACTCAAAAAGCACAATGTTATTTCTCTCAACACTGCTTTAGTGTTATCCCAATATGATAACTAAGAAAATAAAGCAATATCTTTTTGACATTATTCCCAATAAGTATTTTTGACTATAACACTAAAGTAAATTTCTCTCTAAAGCTATAATAAAGGGCGTATTTAAGTGACCAGGTACTGCTAAACAAGGTTATAATGATAAACAAAATGATAACTGTGTAGGCGATAAAGAACAAAGGGGAACAACAATTCCAAAATCATCCTAGAGTATATATATAAATGTGTTACAACTTTTACAATGGTCAACAGCCTCAAACACCAACCAATTTTGACTCAAAAACTACTAAAAACCATATGATGACACAATATGATGACCTTGTTACTAGTGGATGATGTAATTTACACAGCAAAAGTGATCAATGATGTAATTGAATGTCACACAGCACTTCTTATGATTCATACAGGTGATTTTTTCCTTCTAAACTGGCTGAAAATTTATTTTTGAAGTTATGGTGTGGAAAGCAGATTTTCTCACCTCACCTCATCTTTTTATACACATCATTTTGCTCAAAGAGATCATTTTTCTTGCTCACAAT